AGCCCGTTTTGTGTCTTTCCTCCGCCCGAGAGTATGTAGATATAACAAATTAACATGTTTGCTTCCGTTGTTTGGCTAAAAAATAGCTGCGTCCTGCTTTGGCAGTGCAGATTAGCACCTGCGTGTCTTAATTTAGCGTTCGTCTAATGTTGTGCACAATATCAGAGCATATCATGAGCTTTGTTTGAGTAAAGATTTCATCTCCTCACTATTTTCCATTAGCAGTTTGCGTTGCGTTCGAGAGACTTTTAAGGGGTTGATGTACAATTATAAGGCCGCAATTTTCCAGCCTCGTAATTATGATCACCTCTCAGTAAATAGACATGCATCTCCTTTGAAACATATGGGCAATTTGTAGGGTAAGTGTAGCTATTAAATCCATTTTATAAGCACCTCCCTGTGAAGCACATACTGCAATTTGTCTGGGCTGAGGCAAAAAGGACGGAGGGAAGGAAAAGCCATAATGTCTTGAAAAATGATGGAATTTGCAGGAAGCCTGCATTTTAGTGTGTTCGCGAATTTGCCGAACGCATCTGTTTTTGTTTGTTGAGAGAGCGCGAATATTCAGTGTTGATTTGACTACTGTTTTTCTTTCACCGTAATAACTGCAATTATGAGACTAATCATTTATTTAGGGAAGACGTCTCGCTCTGGGAATCACAATAATGGGAGCTTAAGTCTTTCACCTGTGCCGCAAATATCTTTTTTTGTGAGATTTCTTGTTTTATTAAACATATTTAAAAAAAAAAAAAAATTGTATAATAGGATTTTGGATAACCATATTAAAATAAAATAATATTATTTCATTTCAATGTAAGTAAATTAAAGTTGCAAGTAACCGTTTTATTGGAGTGCGAGTTTTGCAAAAGTCAGGTGGCGCAACCAGGAAGTCGGTGCAACAATGAAATAAAAAACTTACTTTAGCTAAGTAGGCCTAAGTAATAGATTGTGCTAAGATTGTCTATTATTATTATAATTATTATTATTGTTCTAAAATGTTAGTTTTAAATTAGGCGTTTTACATTTATTAATAATTATAATTCGATATTTTTTTAATAGATGCCACTATCAAGTAAAGAAAAATCTGTCACACTTTTTTTTATACTGGGTGTTGCACATTACAATGATCTGGCTGCAAAAGTATATTTTGCAAAAAGAAAAGAGGTCATGAATCTTGTTTAGTAGGTATTAGTGTTCAATTAAAGTTACTATGAATTTAATTTTTTGATATTTGATGAATACATTTTTGATATTTTAATTTAAAGTTCTAAACTGACTTAAGCTGATTATTTTTTGGCGTCAATATAAAACATGACTGACTCTCTTTGTTGTTATTCAATCACCTTCAATTACATATAATCTCTTCCACTGTAGCCTATTCCAGTTCCTACATTATGAATGCGATTTATTCAACATTCCATCTATACATGTATAATATGTATTTGTATATATGTGTGTGTGTGTGTGTATATGTATTTAGTAATGACAGTGAATATGCTGAATCCTGAAATTTTCTTACTTTCAATTCATTGTCAGAAGGCACACAAAGTGATATTCATCAGCAGGTGAAACCATTTAATTTTTTTATTTAAACCCAACAAATAATCAGGTCAAAGTGAACAAATATCTAGATTGTGAACAGTTATTGTATTTAATGCATTTACTGGTATGCGTGTATGATCATCTTTTTGTCTTTAAGTAATATCGGATGCTAAATATACTAAATACCTGGCCACTAGAGTGCAATAATTATAAATGAATATATCAACGCATTCTCACCCCAAGGCGTCACCTTTGACCATGCTTCAATATTTGACGTTTTAGGCGCCCTTTAGCGTCACTTACATGACGCGATCCTACGGCGTCATCTAACTGACGCTAAAGGAAAGCGTCAGTCAGAGGACGCGGTTAGGTTTAGGTGTGGGGTGGGGGTAGGGTACACGCGATCCTAGGGCGTCATCTAACTGACGCTAAAGGGCGCCTAAAGCGTCAGATATTGAAGCATGTCCAAATGCTTCCCAAGGCGTCAGTTAAGTGACGCCTTGGGGGTGAGAATGGGCTGAATATATGCATAAAACACACAACCACAAAATAAGTATGTGTAAGCACTGTAGACACTCTAAGGGTTACATTGCTAAGATTTCACTATAAAATTTGGAATATATATTTATAAATATTTGGTTTTACCACCTGACCAAAAAAAAGTCTATTTAAAAAAAAAATTAATTTAAACACTGAAATGTTTTAACAATTAAAACTTGTTTAAACGCATTGTTCCTGACTTAAAAATATGCATTACATCAATTTTAAAAATATTTTTTTAATAGAAAATACCACAGGTCATAAGAGAGGAAAACGCAACAGACGTCTGTCATTTGGTAACTGCGTTTTTTAATTTTTTTTTTTATGAAAACAAAGATGGAACACAAATGTAAGCCATAAAGAAAAGTAACTGAAAAGGGATACCACAACAAAAAGGATGGAACCACATTGCCCTCTTTTACTGTTCCATTTCTCCTCAGCTAGTAAGGAAAGTCACGATGTGCAGGTGTGTGTGTGGGAAACGGCAACTGTGCATTGACAAATGATTCTGCTTTCTGAAGCCCTAATTAGTGGCATAGTGTCTGCTCCCCGTGGGGCTGCTGTGCTGGGCGTTAGAGATGGTCCATTCTTATTTCCTACTGCCTTTGATATCAGACCGCAGTCTGATGGCGTACACAAAACCGACACACTGGGGCGTGATGGACGACCCAGAGAAGACAAAGCGGACTCTTCTCCATCTAGCAAGCACCACCTCTCTCTTTCACGTATACACACATGCTGAAACAAAGTGAAAGGACACACACCAAATTGGCTCCTGTGACAGGGCGGCTAATGTTTTCCCATGCAAAGTAAAAGGCCAAAGTAGGAGACCACACCCTCTGCTCCTAATGACGGCCCACCCTGAGCATGCACCTGGACCCTGGACCAAAAACAAAAATACTTGCTCATAGGGGTATGTGATATCCCGATTTTTGATCTTGAACGAACTGCTTTTGAAGAACAACATAAAATGTACGTTCTATCATTTGCAGTTCTGGAGCCTCCTTCCCAATATACTGTACAACGGGAGTACATGACATGCGTTCACATCACAAGTTAATGCATAGGTAGGGTTACATTCCCGTAAAATAGCACTTATTCACAATCACGAAAGTGTATTATTTGCATAAGCCTTGTCGGTTTTATTGATTTAATTCACAGGCTGTTCTGGGAAGCTTTTCACAGCACACACACACACACACACACACATTAAAAGCCTGTTAAACAGCGCATGAATACTAAACTAAGTTATCTTTCGCGTCTTATTGTGCTAAAACTATCAAATACACACAAGGTGTACATAAACACAACCGATTATGCCAAGTGAAAGTAAACCGTGTGGAGAAATCCAAATGTGTGTTTGTATACCTAGTTGATCCATGTGACAAAGTGACAACAGCCTAATAAACCTTGAAAAAATCACTTACTGCTCTTCACTGAATAACTTTTTTTAATAAGAAGAATAATAATTTTGACATGTATTCATTTTCTTACTTGAATACTACTGTTAAATACAACTAAAAATAAAGCATGTTTTTTGTCATTTGTGTATAATATTGTATCTGTATTTTTAATAACAAAGGTAAAATGAATTTCATTATTCATCCTAACCCACCCATAATTTGGCTTTAATTGTCTGTCATTCTTTATTTGTTACCTTGTAAAACTACATTTGCAAAATAGGAAATTTAGTTTGGCTGCACTGGTAAAACCAAAATTAATTTAAATTTCCTTAAAAATATTTGTGCTATTCAATTTTTGCCCTATCGCCCATCCCTACTTGATCATACTGATCTGTACTGGTTGGGGAGAGATTGTAAAAAAAAAAAAAAAAAACGATGCCTCTGTACAAATAATTACATTCTTTCTTTAAAATATATTTAAAAAGCTCATATCGATGAAATTAAAAATCAATACTAGTTTTTATTTTCTTGCTTCTGCATGATTACACCGATGGATTGGGCTGAAAAGAATGTATTGTGACATGTTGCAGGTCAGACTAGAACTTGCCTTACTCATATGAGCACCACAACTCCGTAAGAGTGCTGTGTGTGGACCACAGCTCCAACAATTAGCAGAATTTCTTCCCTCCATCTGATGTATTTGTTTTTACATTTGGGGCGTATTATGCCTGATCTCTGAGTCAGAGTTTGTTAAAGACAGACTGTCCAAGAGTGAATCAGGAGTCACATGAACCTCAGTCATGTTGGAAAGAGTGTCATCTTAAAGTCACTTCTGTGCCCCACTCTGCTTGGCCTGTTCGACCCAAAGATAGTTATTTTTGTCTCCCTAAAATGAATGTAATTGTTTATATAGGCTGTATGAGACTTTTTGGGCACCTGGAACCATCATAAATTACCATAGTCTGAGGCAAGTAATTGTCCCTCACGGAACAGAGTGAACATGTCGTCCCCCATCGTGACATCTGCCGAAAAAGCTGCCTTGAATGTGCTAACTATGTTCTTGTAGCCCTGACATTTGGACATGGAAATTTATGAAAGCCATTTAGAATACTCCAGTAAAGGTCACTGTGTACAATTAGATGCACAGGTGTCAAGAGAAAGAGTCCTCATTTCCATGTGATTGTGGGCTTTTGTAGCAAATATCATGCACTTTATTGGTCACAGCATCTCTCTCTGTGTGTGTGTGTGTGTGTGTGTCTGCAGTGCACTCTCATGCTTGTCAAGAAGACATGCAGCAACCTAGAATCAATAAAAGTTTCCCATATATCTGTTTAGTAATTGCATGTTTACTGCTTGGGGTGTCTCAAATGGTCAAATAAAAATACAAATTGAAGATGTAAATTTTAATATTAATTATGAGGTGTTACATATAGCATCCTTTCCAAGCAGTACAGATTCTGTAAAAAGGTTTATTGTGTATATTTTTATGTTTTGTGTTGTTTTTGTCATCCTCAGCCTACTCTACTGTGTCTGGTGTAAATGGGCCACTGGTTATCTTGGACAATGTCAAAGTAAGACCTATTTCCATGTTTTAACATGTAAAGTATCTCAAAATATGAGAAGATTTATTCTTTCTTTTGTTTTAAACTTCTTATAGTGACTGTACAGAGGAAAAAAATATAATAGTTATGTTTTGCCCTTTAATTTGTAGCATTTAACCCTCTAATTTTTAGTCAAGACAATACAAAAAAAATAGTCCTAGGTTCCATATGTAAAAGAAAATGGAAAGAAGGATATTTTTTTCCAACTGTAGTAAAGAAAAGAAACAAAAAATAATTTTATAGTTAAACTTTTGAGCATTACATTTTGGATTAAAATGATTTATTCCTTTTTATTTGCCATTTATATTTATGTAAGAACATACTGGTGAGTAATTAAGTTTGGAAAAAGTTTTTTATTATTTGTAATTTATTCCTGTGATGGCAGGATTTTTTTTTTTTTTCAGCATCATTACTCCAGTTCATGATCCTTCAGAAATCAGTATAATATGATGATTTGCTGCTCAAGAAAAATTATTGTTGTGGAAAACAATTTTTTTTTTGTCTTTACTGTCACTTTTGATTAATGAATCATTGTTAAATAAAATGTTTTATTTTTATAATATTTTCTCTCTCCCCAAAAAACTGAATGGGTTTGAATGGTAGTATATATTGATCCTCTTCTTCATCTTTCTTTATTGCCCTCCTCTAGTTCCCACGTTATGCTGAGATTGTGCACCTCACCTTACCTGATGGGACCAAGAGGAGTGGGCAGGTTCTGGAGGTCGTGGGCACCAAAGCTGTCGTCCAGGTGCACTGAAATCATTTTTTTCTTTTAAAATCGAACTGTTCTCTATAAATATTTGTTAGAATCAGTACTTACACTATCTCAAGTATAATATTTACATTTTGTGCCCATCAGGTGTTTGAAGGAACCTCAGGTATCGATGCTAAGAAGACCGCATGTGAATTCACTGGTGACATCTTGCGCACACCTGTGTCTGAGGATATGCTTGGTAAGCACGTGACTAATGCTCATGTAGCCTATGTAATCATTGTCTTTATGTGTCTTCTACATGACCAATACAGATGTCATGAAGAACTTGACATTTTATTTCAGGACGTGTTTTCAACGGGTCGGGTAAACCCATTGACCGGGGTCCTACTGTTTTGGCTGAGGACTATTTGGACATCATGGGTAAGAGGCTTCTTTTTTAGGCTTTATATAACATTTGCAGGAACAAATGTCTTCTCGAGAGGCGCATAGATGACTTGACCAATACTGTTGGTCTCATTTACTCTAAATGTTGGGTCTTTTTGGTATCAAACTTTAAAATTTAGCAGCACAGCTTTACCAATTTGGCTACCATGAACCATGTTGAATGTTCTTTGTCAGTATGTGCTCAGCTTGTCTGCAGCTTAGTTGAATGGCCAGTAATATGTTTATAAATGCCTAAAATTCCTCCTTGTTAGTATTTGAATATTTTGAGAGATTGAAAGGGAATTTTTGTGTGCTTTCTAAGCCATTTACTGACCTCATGACCCTGATCTCTGCTAAGCTGAAATGGCAAAGGTGAGCCTTTGAGCTATCAAAGCTATACAATGGGGACTCAAAGCAACGTTTGAATGAGCCAAACGGATAAGAGGGGGCGTAAAAAAAGGTTGATCAGGTTTCAAGGTCATACCACTCCAAATGGTGTGTAGAATGCTGATATGCCTTGATGAGATTTTTTTTTTCTAAAATATGAGCCTTGATCATTTGCCATGAGTGTTCAGTGTGGGTAGTTTTGCCCTAAAAAAAATCGTTTTCCTCCTTTAGAAATAGAAGTTGTACCTTGTAGACTCTTAAGTACCAGATATCTTTTCTACTCATGTAAAGTCACTGTTCTCACTTTGATTTCCCCTTAGGTCAGCCCATCAACCCTCAGTGTCGTATCTACCCTGAGGAAATGATTCAGACTGGCATCTCTGCTATTGATGGCATGAACAGTATTGCCCGTGGGCAGAAGATCCCCATCTTTAGTGCTGCTGGACTACCACATAATGAGGTGTGTTTAACTCATTATACAACAGAAATGATTGTTCTGCAGGTTGGCTTTTGTTGTCCAATATGAAATTTTCTTTGGCCAATATCTAGATTGTGTAAAATTATTAAATTATACCGTTTAATATCATTCCCAGACACCATTGTAATTATTGGATGACTTATTGACTAAAATATTTTTTTATTTTATAATATTTTAAAGGTGTGGTTTGTTGTTTTGTATAATATAATAATATAGACTAATTTAATATAACATAAATTGTGTGTTATCCATTTTAGAGGCTGGCAGTTCACTTTTTTAAAAATAACTATTACTTCTGTTTATTGGTCAAATGGGCATATCTAAGCCTAATGCTATTAGTTTTTTTGTTTTTGTTTTTTGTTGAGATTATTGTATGACCATTATGTGTGACCCTGGACCACAAAACCAGACACAAGGGTCATTTGTTTTAAATTGAGATTAAATACTTCATCTAAAAGCTGAATAAATAAGCTTTCCATAGATGTATGGTTTTGCTAATTGGATACTAATTGAAAATCTGGAATCTGAGGGTGCAAAAAAATCCAAAATCATTGAGAAAATCACCGTTAAAGTTTATTTATGTTCGCGATTGTACTGCATTCACTCACAAAAATAAATGTTTTGTATGTTTATGGTAGGAAATTTACAATATATCTTCATGAAACATGATCTTTACCTAATATCCTAATGATTTTTGGAATAAGAAAAATTAGGATTTTGATCATTTCGACCCATACAATGTATTGTTGGCTATTGCCACAAATATACCTGTGCTACTTGTGACTGGTTTTGTGATTCAGGGTCACATATTGTTTTACAACTAGCATACATTTGTGGCGTTTAAGCAAGATTCACCTTGTTTTTGCGTTCATCCAGCCAGATTTTTAACTTTCCTTGAAATGCTCCACAGGAATCTGTCTTTATCCAGAGCCCAATTCAAGAACCGATGATACAATACAGACCATGCTGCTTGCCAGTGTGTTTAAATTATTTTAATGAAACCTAGAGGGATTTATTTAAATTCCCTCATTTGAAGTGTTGTGATCAAATTTAGCACTTTATTGTTTAGCACCGAGGCAGCCACAGTTCTATTTTCTGTATTATACCCGCGAGCGAGACAAGGCTGTGTGATTAACGTTAATTTGAGAGGGATCTGTAATTGATTTCAGCCTGTGGTGTTTCTGTGGAAACAGTGAGGTGGGTCAGGGTTCGTTTCATCACATTCTCCTCTCGTGTGAATGTGGGAAGGACCGGTATGATTTCGAGAGCTCTAGAGTACCCAAACAAAACCAACCACTTAGTAATGATCAATATGTGCAGAACCTGCTTGAGGTCACATGGCTTGTTAAGGTCTAAGATAAGTGTAATGTCCTGGTTGAACTAAATGATGAGAACTACAAAATGATTCTTGAACTCTAAATTTGTTCCTCAAACTTTCAAAGAACATTGGTAGAGTTCACAGTCAATATCTTTGCCATCAGCATTTTATCACTTAAACAATGGAGATGAATACACGCATATGGAAACATACTTTTTTTTTTAGTGTGTTTTTGCAAGGGCTTTCTAAGCATACAACACCACAAAGATAATAGGTTGCTTGTGCTTTAGTAATTTCTGTCCCAAAGGTCATAAATACGCATTTTTAGTAGGTTATGCTACTACATACTGTATACCACTGACTGTGAGTGACTCAGCTGCCAAACTTATCTGCTGTCAGGCTGGAAAATGGACGTTGTAACCCATGACATGAGCTATTAAGAATATAAGTTGGCTGCCTTGTGTAGAGTGCTGCAGGGATGAAGTAAATGTGTTGGCCAAACCCGGAAGTTAGCATCACACTGGTTCCCTTGACAAAAAAACAATGGATTTTTCCATAGGTTTTTGAATTATCATGAAAAATAAGCTCTGTGTTCAACAAAAGTTTATGATAGCTGCATGTTTTGTCCAAGATAATTTTCGCAAATAAACACAACTTTTATGAATTTTGAAGCCTAAATACAATCGTCAGAAAAACATAAAAATCTAATCCTAGGCTGGAACGAAATACACCCTTTTTGCCTGAATTCAATGTCACAAGTGGGGTGTAACTGGTGTGTTTTATCATAGAATGAAACTTGAAGATATTTCGATCTTGTGTTCACTGGCCACAGAACTTATTCTAGTCTTTTAACCAAAATCCCATTGACTTCGAAACAATGGAACCTTAAATACTAACATGTTTCTGCGTTTTGCCGTACAAATACGTCATTTTACGTCAAAAATATGTCAATACGTCAGCACTCTAAGAAGGTCAATCATGACTATTTTCTACTATTTTGTATCACAGTCAAGTTTAATAGTCCTTTAGACTCTGGTTTAGTTTCATAATTATAATTAATTTTGTATAACGAAGGTTTTGTGAAGTAGTTTGTTAGTAATTCAAGGTCAAATAATTTGTAAACCTCAGTGCCATTATTTCACCCTCAGTTTAGGTGCTGTTTTGAGATATTGTTTAGAATTATAAAATTACAGCGAGCAACTTTAGTCAAGTGTGCCTCAAACATTCAAACACGTGTCATTTGCTCTGAACTCCAAGTACGAAAATGAATGATGTGCAAAGCATTGTCTATTATTTCTATGACTGTATGTGTGTTTTAATTTGTCTGTATATGTTAGTGTTTTATGAGCTTTGTGGCCATCCAAAATTTTCTTATTTATTTCGTTTTTTAAATTTTTTGGTGAACTTTTCTTTTAATGCTTTGCCATGAACGGGACATTTATTTAGTATATGTTGTCTTGTCAGACCGTTATGAATAAATATTACATAATGATTTTGAAATATTTATATCAAATATATACCATACAATGTTTTATCTGAATGGCATAACTTATTTTCATTTAAAATATTTTTTTTAGGTCCAGTCGTGGATATTTCAAATCTTTATTAGATGTGCCACTTTATTGCTTGACATTCGTTTTTGGCAAATGACGCTTTATGTACATTTTCTTACCGCAAGCACAACTATTCTCTTGTGTGAACGTCACTGGTTGTTTCACTCAGCCCTGAGGTTTTAACACACTCGAGAGAGAGCTTCTCTTCAAACCATCAACAAGATAGTTCCCGTTAACACCCTTAAGCTCTCTCTCTCTCTCTCTCTCACACACACACACACACACACAGGCAATAGTAATAAACCATAACACTTTGGTGCTTTTCACACTATTCTTAACCCTAAGTTTATGTCATTTCAAACCCTGTATTAAGAAAACTTTTGTCCCTGATTAAAGAAAGAAAATTATGAAAACTGACTTCTGACCAAGGTTAGTCCTGCCCTTGCAGAACCATCAAATACATGCTTCAAGGAAGAGTTTTGAACTCTGTCATGGCAACAAGATAAAAAGTTGAAGAGTAGTTTAGGACAGTAGTTTGCCCAGTATATTGGCTGTGAAGAGAGAATAAAGCTCCAGCGATTGTCAGTTATGAAAATATGTGATCAAAAGCCGAGGTTGAATGGTGTGAACTTCCACCAGCCCAAGTGTAAAGTAAGTTTCAGTGTCTCACTAATGAAGGCGCTGTGCTGTGATATAAATGTTTCTCGTTTCATTAAATAGGAGTCATGGGGTCACAGACAGCTTTATCCACTCAGAGAAACAGGTGTTCAGGGTCAGAGTTCAGTCAGGGGTCAGGCCGGATTAGACATCCAGGACCATTACATTAAGTGATAAGCGTGAAATTCCTCATGCTTATAGTCTTAATCTCTTTGTTGCAAATGCACACACAAATAGGAATCCGCACCCATAAACAGTGCATTACATATGTAACAAAAGTTTCCTTTTTAATTAAATTCTGTTCTTTTGAACTTTCTATTTATCAAAGAATACAGAGAAAAAATGTGTCATGGTTTCCACACAAATATTAAGTGGCACAACTTTTTTTTATACTTTGGAGTATTTGCTGCTGATAATTCAGCTTAGCCATCACAGGAATAAATGACATTTTAAAATATATTAAAATTGTAAATTTCACAGTATTACTGTTTTTTGATCAAATAATTGCAGCCTTGGTGTTGGGTTTGAACAGTATTTTAAAATAGTATTGATTATTTTAACTAATATTAAATTAAAATAATTATAGCTTGTGAATCAACTAGTACAGCAGTGCTGTTATGACATGCACTTGTTGATGAACTGAATATGCCTAATTTCTGTGTATTTTAATGTTATTCCAAAATAATTTTTAAATTGTGTTCCAAGATAAAAACCGATTATGTACAAGGCTAACTAATTTTGGTTTTGTGATGGATTTTTAAATTATTTTTATTTTATTTATTTTTTTACTGGTAGATTGCTGCCCAGATCTGTCGCCAGGCTGGTTTGGTTCAGAAATCCAAAGATGTGATGGACTACACTTCAGAAAACTTTGCCATCGTCTTTGCTGCTATGGGGGTGAGTGGTTTTCTGTGCCTTTATTTTCTGCCATGGTGTCCAATTATGTGTTTTCTTGTGTGTTGTTTTCTTATAGTAATCAAATGCTTGTTTTACTCGAGCTTCCTTCTGTGTTCATTTTCTTTACAACAGTAAATCCTGATTTACATCTAGGTCTCTAATATACATGAGTCAAATAGTTGCATGAATTTCAGGATGCTTGTGTTAAATGATCCTCAGTGGACGGAATGTAAAAATGTGTCCTTTTTGTGTGAGTGGGTGAATGTTGGTCCTCATAGGTGACTTAATCCTGCTCTTCAGCACCACCTTAACCTTCTGCCCTCAGCTGTCTGCTTCCTCTCCAAACCTTTGTTATTGTCACCTGAGTGGCTGCGGTCTGTCCTCTCAGACATGTATTACCTGCATCAGGTGTCAGGTTCACCTGTGTATTCAAGTCTGGAGGGCTTCCATTAACCCATGCTTGAAATGTCACTGACCCAGCCTTGTGTCCTGTGGCCACTGGGCTCCCGGTGTGGACTCAAAGCTAATGCATTCGCTTTTGACACCTTGTAACTCTATATCTTGATTTTATGTGCAGGGTGGTCAAAATGTAAAGGGAAAAGGATTTTTCTTCCTAGCAGGAAGTGTACTTCAAGAGGTCATTTTGAACTAAATTGTGGAGATTTTGTTTTAACAATGAACAAGAAATACCTGACATTGTCTGTTTTTCCAGCCTCTAATGAAATAACAGTGACTTTGGGTTTATTTGGCACTTCAGATTTTTTTTTTTTTTAATTCCAGGTCAACATGGAGACGGCACGCTTCTTCAAGTCAGACTTTGAGGAGAACGGTTCTATGGACAATGTGTGCTTGTTCCTGAACCTGGCCAATGATCCTACGTGAGAATTAATTAAAATGACCTCCATCATCTTATGTAATGCATTTTGTATAACGTATTGACTATTGTAATGTTTTCTACATAGCATTGAACGCATCATCACCCCGCGTCTGGCTTTGACCACAGCGGAGTATCTGGCTTATCAGTGTGAGAAGCATGTGTTGGTCATCCTCACGGACATGAGCTCCTATGCAGAGGCTCTGAGAGAGGTGAGGACCATATCATATTGATAAGAAGCAAGGGCCTTTTACAAAATCTATTTCAAATAAATGCTGTGTACTTTCTATTCATCAAAGAATCCTGAAAAAAATAATCTATCATAGTTTATCATATGGGAAGGCTTTCCACAAGATTTGTGTTCCTGTGGGAATTTTTGGCAATTCTAAAGTCAGTTGGACAAATAGATGTGTGATTTGTTACTCCACAGAACTTGTTTCCACTGCAGTAGCGGTGTGCTTTACACCACTCCATCTGACGCTTGGCATTGTACTCGATGTGAGGCTGGCATGCAGCTGCTCGGCCATGAAAATCCATTCTATGAAGCTCCCACTGCACAGTTTTTGTGCTGTTATTAATGCCAGTAGATGTTTAGAACAGCAGAGCATTGGTGACTTTCACGCACCATGCACCTCAGCACTCTGTAATCTCGCTCTGTGACTTTAAGTGGTCTTCTGTTCCGCTTCGTGGATGAGTTGCTGCTTTTCCATTGCTGCTATTCTTCTACCTTCCAATAATGCCACTTACAGTTGATTGTGGAATATCTAACAGGGATGAAATTTCACAAACTGATTTTGTGAACCGATCACTTTAATTCACTGAGCTTTCTAAAATGGACAATTTTTTTTTGCCACAAATGTTTGTAAATGCAGACCATAATTTAGTGTTTGATTTTATACTCCGGTGGCAATGGGTTTGATTTAAACACCTGAATTCAATCATTTTGAGGTGTGATCCCAATACTTGTCCATATAGTTTCTATTAAAATAGAAAACAGTTATTCTAAATTATAATAATATTTCACAATATTACTGTTCTTGCTGCTTTTTTGATCAAAATGAATGCTGCCTTACCGAGCACAGAAGTTGTCCTTTACATTTGTTTTTGAAATAAGATGATTAAAATCATGGCCCTTCAAAAGAAATAAGTATTTGACATCCCAATGAATGCTGCTCTAGTACTGCCCCTATAGACTATAGTGACCATAAATGAATAAACTGAAGGAATTTCAGTCTTCCGAGTTTACATTGGTAAGCGGACGAGCTAAAAGAACTCATTCAGTGCGTTTTCTAACCATGTGTGTCTTTATTTATTTAATAAATCTTACACCTTCAGCCTTTTCAACAAACATGGTGTAAGGTCTCTTTTACAAGGGCATAATGCACATGTACCTCATATAAACAGTTCCTGTTGATATGAAAGCTTTCAAGGGACAAGTAGGTTTTTCCATTAGTTGCAAGGGCAGACAAATCTGCGACACATTCTCTGCTTTGTAGGGATTTTTTCCAGTACCCTGTTTTATGATGTATCATGTTGTTAGCCATTTACATTTCATATCTGCTTAAGCATAATTGACCTTGTCATGTAAATTATCCTAAGTCTCTCTGTTTGGTTTTCTTATCCTTTTATGATTTCCCAGCCATTATTCTGTGCACTTCTTAGACTTGATGCACAGCGAACGCATTTACTTTGCATTATATGTATGCATTAGCCTGACTAATACATACATGTATTAGCCTGTCAAATAAACAATAAACAAACTTCGTCATACTCATATTCTAGTTAGAATGTGAGTTTGATACTGCTCCATAGGGCTTTGATTATGAGGCGTGTCTTAACCAAACCAGGAAAAAAAAACCTACACAGTAGGTTTTTTAAGAGCTAAGCAAAGTTGAATACAGGCACACTGGAAGTAGTAAAATAATGAGTGTTGCTTCTTTTACTTGGTCCTCCATGAGTGCGATCAAAGAAGAAGCCAAAACAACCACAGGGTTTTCATAGTGTCCCATCTTCTTAGCGACCATTGGAGCCAGCTGATAAATTAAACTTTTGTCAAATCCCGTAGGAAGGATGGCAAACACATCTTTCCGATCGCCAAATGCCTTGATTTTATTTCTCTGTCCATCTTTTAAAATGAATGCGCTATCAATTTATTTTACAACAGATGCAATAGCGGAAACATCTCAATTCTCCAGCTGCAATCATCTTTGAGGGAAATCAGTTCATCCCAAGTGCTCGTTGATAACGTAATGATTATGTAACTGCAGATCATAGTATAAAGCCCGCCCTGGCAATTTGATTGGCCCGACTAATTCTGAACCGATCATAATTACTCCTCAATGAAACGAAACCAAAAAATTGTTGTTGGCGGGGTTCGGGTTGGCATCCAGGCTATGTATGTATGTAACAACCTTACTTGGAGCCTCTCAAGTCACATTAGCAATACGAGTTGTTGACTTGTGCATGTACAGAGCCATTTCCATCATATCAAATTCCAAATGTTTGGGAGTGAAAACCGCTCAAACAGAAAACCGCTATGAATGCTATAAAAGAGCACAATCTCGTGTAACAAAAGGAGAGTAACCTCCTCTTGACATTTGGAACCGTATTGGAGCAATGGCCAGCGTTACGGTTAGTATCTTGTTTCCTGTGTGGCTTATGTTGAAGAGCCACTGTGTCCAATCGTAATGAATGGATTTCAGCACCATCTGCCAAAGTGTAAGAATCATGTTTTAAACAAAACCCAATGTGAAACCAAGACATTGTCTTTGTTCCGAATAGCATATTGGCAACTAATTTTGTTTCTGTTGTAAATTTTGTATATACACTGTGCAAAGTATGGACATTTTCTGTATGCATGAAATCCATCAAGGACCTTACATTACTACATTTGGCAAAATGTGTGGCATAAACAAGAGGAAGGACCGCAAGTTGAGCACATTGTATTTCAAAATAGTATGCTCCAGAGCACACTATTTCGAAATGCAATGTGCTCAACTTGCTGACCAATATTTCATACATTTTTCTTGACGTGATTGGATCAGACTGGCTAGAGAGAACGTTTTTACAAGGGGAAAAAAATGAAAGAAATTTTTTTTTTTAAATCACGAGTTAAGATGGGGATGTTTTTAATTAAAAAATCAAGGTTGATGTTGCTTTTGATTTATTTCTCACACTGGAAGGATAGGGGAAATGGAGTGTGTTGCTTTAGGAATACTATATTGTATAGGGCACAGTTTGGTAAATCTATTGAGTTCAAAAAATATACATATGTAGTAGTAGTAAGGTAGTATGCCATTCCAAATATAACAGTGGGGCATTATATAAACAGAAGATTAGTACAAAATAACATTTGTGTACACTTCATTCCACTCTGTTCCTCATCGTCCTCAAGATACTTTTTTTGGGGGGCAGCATCTCTTTTCTTCCCCCCTCATGCTAGTGATTTATCGTTTTTCTACCACAAACATGTTTTGACGTCTAAACGTGTCAAATGCATAATGCTCATTCTAAATGGTAATGATTGCATGTGAAAGGACCATTCTCTCCTGCTTTTGTGCCTCTGTAACCTTGGGATACATTCAGTCCTATCAAAGCTGCATGCTTTGGCTTCTGCAGTTGGCAACCACTTTCAAAGAGCTACGGGAGCATTAACATTTAACTCCCTCACCCATTCAGCCTGGTAAAGGTGAGGCTAAGAACGGTGTCAACATTCGTTTTAACCTTTGGAGAAGAGGTGTATTTTCTGCTTATAAAAGTGCCTGTGTGTAGATGCACCAAGTCGAAAACAGATTAACCTCATTTGACTGACTTGAAAAGGCTGTCATTGATCACTTGTTGTGGAACAGATGCTATGCTACTCTTTCGTTTTTATAAGATGCTTCTGTGGAACTTCACAGGAGACAATGGAAAACTTTTACACACACAGAACCTCTCTTGTCATGATGTTAAACACCAATTTTATCTTGATGTGTTGCGGGTTGTAGGTGTCTGCTGCTCGTGAAGAGGTGCCGGGTCGTCGTGGTTTCCCAGGTTACATGTACACTGATCTTGCTACAATCTATGAGCGTGCTGGAAGAGTGGAGGGCAGAAATGGATCAATCACCCAGATTCCCATTCTAACCATGCCTAATGATGGTACAAGCACATACACATTTATTTAGTTCCCTAAATTAGACCATCAACCTATTTTATATAACATTAAACTGTACTGTAATATACTATAAACTTCAGTGTGAATCTCATGCTATATTTGAGCTATGAAACTGTGCAATTTGTTTAGAAGTGTGCATTATATGGGGTGAGAATGGTTGCATTATTCCAAATAAAGGTTAAGGTTAGGTTTAGGTGTATGTTCAGGGTTAGTATCTAGTTATTGTACTAAAAAGGTACATCTTATGTTCATGGGGAACAGGATTGTTAAATAGAGCCCTACCAGTTATTTAGTTTATTTATTCAGTTAGTTCAGTATTTTTGGAGGTTATTTGTTTAAATATATTTAAAAGTTCTTTCAAATCGATTAATCACATCTAACATAAACGTTTGTCTTTACATAGTATGCGCACACAAACACACATACATTTTATATACTGTTTATTGTCTGATCTGATGAGTCTCGATTTCTGTTGAGACATTTAGATGCTAGAGTCAGAATTTGATGGCTACTTCCAGCAGGATAATGGATCATATCACACAGCTTGAATCATCTCGAGCTCGAATCACATCAATATGGGTCAACATTTCTAAAGAATGTTTTCAGCACCTTGTTGAATCAATGCCACATAGAATTAAGGCAGTTCTGAAGGTGAAAAGGGGTCAAACACACTATTAGTATGGTGTTCCTAATAATCTGTGAATGTGTGTGTGTATGTATATTACATTTATATGTATTCTGTATATATATGAAGAGTTCAGATGCAAAAGCCTCTAAATGCCATTTGAAATTTTCTTCTTTAATGATGATTTTTATCAAACTTGTATATTTAAGTTCAGTAATTTCACTTAAATAACAATTAATAGGTAATTATCATTGCCATTTAAGTGAAATTACTGAACTTAAATATACAAGTTTGATAAAAATCATCATTAAAGAAGAAAATTTCAAATGGCATTTAGAGGCTTTTGCATCTGAACTCTTCATATATATCTGTGTGTGTGTGTGTATATATATATATATATATATATTGTACATACACATAAAGCATATATGTGTATAAATGAAGAGTTCAGATGCAAAAGCCTCTAAGTGCCATTTGAAATTTTCTTCTAGAATGATAATTTTTATCAAGCTTGTATATTTAAGTTTAGTGATTTCACTTAAATGGCAATGATAATTACCTATTAATTGTTATTTAAGTGAAATTACTTAACTTAAATATACAAGTTTGATAAAAATCATCATTAAAGAAGAAAATTTCAAATGGCATTTAGAGGCTTTTGCATCTGAACTCTTCAAATATACGTGGGTATGTAGATATACACAGACATTCGCACGCACACACACATGTATGTATGTATAAATGTAATAATATACAACATGTTATGTAAATAAACTTTTATGTTAATGCGATTAATTGATTTGACAGCATTAATATTTAATTATTTTGTTATTTTAAGTCTTTATTTTGTATTCTGGCCGGACACAACAATTGCGGCCAGTAACTAGCAGTCTTGATGGCTTTGGTTACTATAGAAACATCCTTGTGAAAGGCCCGTGTGTGTTTCTGAATGGGTGTTCCCCTTTATAACAGCACCAGGAAACCTCTTTCTCGTTTCGCTTTCTTTGCCCTTTTATCTCGGGCATCACAACATCACAATATATAGATGCTGCAAATGAAATGAACAACTAATAAATCTCATTATTTAGAATGACTGAATAATAAAAATGAAAAAAAGATAAATGCTCAAATCCGCTAATTTCTCATTTTCTCCCCGTTTCACATAGATATCACCCATCCGATCCCTGATTTGACTGGTTACATCACAGAGGGGCAGGTGTATGTAGACAGACAACTGCATAACAGACAGGTGAGAAGTTTTGCCAGTCATAACAAACAGCTGGAAAGCTTTGTGATTAGGAAATATGATGAAAGGGGTACATGATCCATTTCAGAATCTGCAAAAGTACAGAAGGACCCATTAATGTTTCATACACATTCATTTATTAGAACTAATATTTAATACTTCGTCTTTTAGATATTCTTTGTGAAGCTAGAATACAGTTTCTTTGAAACTTTTTATTGTTCTTTAGTTAAAGCTGCAGTCTGTGACTTTTTTTGTTGTTGTTCAGAATTGTCAAAATTTATATAAGCAAGCACATCATGAATAGATTTTCCAAACCATCTTTTTGTCTTATCCTGACTGGTCCGGGTTGTACCACTGCGGAGTAGCCTAGTACCTACGTGACTCATCATAGATATAAACGGAGAGAAGTGCTACAATGTTCTTCCGCCAGACACGTGCAGTTCTGTTTATTAGAACGCCAAATGTTATGGATTGCAGCTTTAATTTAGTTTTTTTTTTTTTTTCAGTTGGTATTTCAATTATTTATTTAGATATTTTAGTTGGTTAGTCAGTCACAGACGTCTGTCTGTTTATTTTCAATGTTTCCATATAAGGATGTCCCCTAATGTTCCTTAAGCAAGATTTAGGTCACTTCTGAGGACTATTTTAGTCTCCAAACTATACATTCTGTGTACATTCACACATTCTTGCACACTTGACTTGATTCCCAGATAAATATGAATGTATAATTCTTCAAAACTGTATTCTTTGGTGTTCTTTTTTTCCCCACTTAAAGATCTATCCTCCCATCAATGTACTGCCATCTCTCTCTCGATTGATGAAATCTGCTATCGGAGAGGGCATGACCCGCAAAGATCACGCTGATGTCTCTAACCAGCTGGTAAAGAAGTAGCATGTTCTTACAACAGAATTCCATTTAATGTGATTTTTTTTTTCTTGTCTTTTTTTTTGTTGCTAATTATCACTCTGTTTCTATGTCAATCCCATAGTATGCATGTTATGCCATTGGTAAAGATGTTCAGGCCATGAAGGCTGTGGTTGGTGAGGAAGCTTTGACCTCAGATGACCTGCTGTACCTGGAGTTCTTGCAGAAGTTTGAAAAGAATTTCATTGCTCAAGGTACAAACCCCTAGTGTGTGGTTTTCACTAATACATAGGCACATTCACTCTTGATAGGTCTGAAATAAGCAGGAATATTAAACTCCCATTTTAAACTGATTTTTTTTTTTTTTTTTGCACTAGAAAGGAAACTTTGGGAAGATCCAATTATTTCAGTCTTTCTCTGATAAATGGAACGCATGTTTTTTTTTAAAGCACAGTTCACCACACAGAGCAGTTTTATAGACTTTTTTTAAAATTCAAGGTTCTACAGACTTGCGCATGTACACTATTCTGCCATTTTACATTCTACATTGGAAACCACTAGACAGTATTTCAGCCACTGCTCTTGCTCTGCCACAAAGCACTTTACCTCAATGAATGTTCTTCTCAATGCTGCTGCTGTATAATGCCCTCTGTCTCCATCAAATCCTCCAATTAAAAAGAAGTATGCACATCTTTCATATTGATTGCAGCCCTATTTAGGGCCCGACCTCCGATGGTGTGAGGACCCTTTTAGAATTGCTCTGTTTATTATTATTAAGTTGGCTTTTGAGAGCCAACTTACTGAAATCATATTTAAGCTTGTTATGTTTGCTTGAGAAAGCCAACTTACTGAAATCCTATTTGAACTTATTATTATTATTAAGTTGGCTTGTGAGAGCCAACTTACTGAAATCCTAGGCATGTCCAAGTTGGATCCAAGTTGGGTTGTGAGAGTCGAAGGCTCTATTGTTTTCCGAAGGATTATTATAATTAGGGCCCCAAGCCTTGAAAAGGCGACCACCCAAAATACCTTAGAACACCGTAGCAACACCATTGCAACCACCCAAAATACCTTATAACACCCTAGCAACTGCCTAACAACCACCAGAACACCCTAGCAACTGCCTGACAACCACACTGAGCACCCTATCAACCACCCAAAATACCTAAGAACACCCTAGCAACCACTTAGAACACCTTAGCGACACCATAAAAACCACCCAGACACCCTAGCAACATCATAGCAACCACCCACAATACCATGAACACCCTTGCAAAACCATAGAAACCTCCCAGAACACCCTAGCAACTACCCAACATACCTTAGCAACCACCTAGCAACCAACCAGAACACTCTAGCAACCACCCAACATACATTAGCAACTGCCTAGCAACCATCAGAACACCCAGAATATATATATATATATATATATATATATATATATAAATATATATATATATATATATATATATGCGGGCAGCGATGAAAGGGCCAAAGCCGGTGGCAACTGGGGTTGCGGTGCCACCGATTGTCCCCGTCATCCCTGCTTGCAGCTATATTTATTATTATTATTCTTCGAAATGAATCACATTTGACCGCCTAAATATGCACAAAAACTCACGAATTTGCACACGCATCAAAACGTGCGAAAATTTACATCTGATATGCATTTCAGAATTGGGCGGGGCAAAATGGCTTGATAGCGCCACCTAAAACAGAGTGCACCTCACTGCATTTCAGGTTCATGTACGAAATTCGGTACATGCATGTAAAGACCCAATACCTACAAAAAAGTCTCTTGGAGCGTATCCCTAAACACAACAGGAAGTTAGACATTTTGATCTTCCTCTCCGATTTTTGTGCAGTTTTTGCCATTTTCAGGCCTCGTAATTTAACTAACTCTTACAGTTTAATCTGATCATATTCAAATTTGGTAAGTGTAATCTTAGACTTGCAACGTTAAATTGTGAAGATCTTGACTTTTCGTCAAAGGGCGTATCCTCGGCTGCAGTAATTCATCAGGCAGTAATACAGTACATTCAATTCACGTTAGCCCAAAATATGAACGAGTTCATGAACTATCGTTCAATGAACGCGTTCAGGCACAACACTGCTTGGATGTTATTTCTCTATACCATTAGGGGGCGCTAATTATCTTTTATAGATGAGTATTTACCTTAAGAAGTTGGCAAGCATGTGGATAGAGGAAGCAATGGCTTTCTTGGGCTATTCCATTTGACTTTATAAGGTCCTGTGATTGAGGAATGTGTTTCCTTTTTGGTCAATCAATGGACCTTTTTTATTTTGGTGTTTTCTTACATGGGTGAAAGTACTTGCTTCAGCTAACTATCTACTTTGGAGAAACAGCTTCACATGTTTGATAAGAGTTCTGTCCTGAACACATCCCTGCTCAAATTTAGTTAGTTTAATATAGGATGAAATCTCTCGGCTTTCTTTGTGTCTGTCACACAATCGCTGTGTCATTGGTAGAAAAAGACATTATGTTCTTAAGAAACAGATGGATCTCAGTTATTGCTTCTATTTACAGAGAACTTAACATGCTTTTACTTCTTTCCCATTGATTTTGTAGAACAATACAGTGTTTCCTTCAAGTAAATAATTTTTTCTGTTTAACTGAAATTCACCATTAAAGCTAAATACAAGGCTATAAAGTCGATTTCTTTAAGACATTCTTTTGCATTTGGTTTTTTCTTCTTTTTTTTCAAAACTTCTGATTATAATTCCTATATTTTAACATATATATATATATATATATATATATATATATATATATGATGCATAATGGAAGCTTGTATGTTATGTCATGTGACTTAAATGAGGTTATGAGAAATGTGTCCATTTCTCTAGGTCCGTATGACAACAGAACTGTATTCGAGACACTGGATATTGGTTGGCAGCTGCTCCGAATCTTCCCCAAAGAAATGCTGAAGAGAATTCCTCAGAGCACACTGGCCGAGTTCTACCCGAGAGAGTCCGCTGCCCGCCACTGAGCCTCCTAAGACCACTACACCTTTTGGAGGCCTGGGCTAAACAAATCTCCCACAAAACAAATCTCAACCCTTGTGTCCACCTTTAGCCTGACAAGTGATATTTAGGATTACAAGGCATAACTCTGGGATAATACACATTTATCATGCATTAAATTATTTCATAAACATGCATGTTGTCATCTCATGTGTTATGACCTCCAGAGATTATTCCAGTGTCCCCCATTGTTGTGTTATACATGTTTGTGTGTACTGTATCATGTTGATAGGATGTGTAATTGTGCTGGAGATGCATACTGTCCTGTAGTTCATTTCTTTTCTTTTTGTGTAAGCTTTTTCACTGTCTGAAGCCTAAAGAGAATATTACAAAACATTTGCGCTCAAAGGGAAATATTCAGGGCTCACTTGCACATTTGTCCACATTTGTCCTCACTTGCACATCACGTCCTCCATTAATCACTATAACAAACGTAAAAAATAACGTTTCCAAACATTCCAATGTAAGTAATGAGAATATTTGATTTACAAATTCATTTATGGCCCTTATTCCCTTGGAAATATTTGCTTTTATTTATTTTAATATAAAAAAAAACACATTTAAATTAATACTTGCAAACCAAACTTAGTTTCTGTTATGCTGTTAGACAGGTGATTATAGGTGTTGAATGATCATATACGTAGTGTGTGTGCTTGTCACCTGACAGCTGTTATTTCCCTTTTAGAGGAGGAATGGAGGATGTTTACAGCATCTGTGCTTTGAAATATGCTCTGCAATGTAAGACTGATTAAACATTCCCCTCTTACTCTGTATGTGTAAATGTGTTTTACCTGTTTTGTTTGCTGTTTAAACCTGTCAAACCTCTCAGATGAATTAAATTATATTGTTATATGGTGATTGGCTGGCTGCTTATTTATTTTTATTTTTTTGTCATAATAATAACAGTAACGTTAATTTGTGTGTGGCGGGACTTTCTACCAAGATACCAGTTTTCACATCAATATGTAGTACTTTCTGTTATTCAGTGTTTTTTTCACTTCAGGCAATTCTTTGCCACAGGGATTGTTTTTACTAAAAGTAAAAAATGTCATGTTTAATGTCAAATTACAATTTGTTCTGCTGTCTGCTGCTTTTTTCCAGCAAATCACTGGTCGCTTAGGTGTGGTGGTCTCTTCACCTTTATTAGAGAGCCCTTTATTAAAGTTGTGTTAGTTTTCTTGTTTGGGAAGGAGTCAGTGAAGTGAATGCTTGAGATTAAATATGACACCTGATGGGTGAAGAAGAGAACAATCAAGGTACATTTTTAACTTTGTTTTTTTAATGTGTGTGATTTTCCCATTTAGCCATACATTTGTCTATTAGCATATATAAAATAGCTGTCATATTTATACTGCCACAAATGTTTACATTTCCCTCACCGATTTTAATTTGTTTGTTTATTTATTTATTTTAAACAAATATCACAGGGATTTTTAGGCACAGAATGCTGTTAAACCCATTGCGTAACTAATTTGAGATTTGGAAATAGTTTTGAATTTTTATTTATTTATTTATTTTATACCACTGCGGATTACTAACGTTACAGTAAATTAACTTGTGAGAGTTAAACTTTAGTTGACTGGCCGTAGTTAAAGAAACACTAAAATAAAGAGTGTATTTTTTTATCAGTTATTTTAATGCCATTTTGCTGATACCATGTGAATGTTTTTTTTTTTTTTTTTTTTGTATGTTTGTTTGTTTTTTCCTTCTTTATTTCTGGAATAGGCATTCGAGTGAAAACAAGCGTTAACATGTTGAATGTGTAGGCTACTTTAACGGTTCGGGCGAGTGACAGTAGGTGTGTCCAGGTATCATTTCCTGTGTCGCTCAGGCTGTGTTTAATCGGACTTTTGAATCAGTAGCCTACCACAGGAACTCTCAATGGCGTCAACCGGACAGCAAAAAGAAGTGAAAATGATTTCAGAACGGTCCAACCAAGGTAAGGGCTAAGGGTGATGGTGTGTCAAATGCATAAATACTGCAGGTATCTCATAGGAACTGTGTTGCTTGCTGTAACTGTCTGTAACACACACCATGCTACATAATAGTAGGCCTACATAAAGTCGATTTGTTTCTTGTTAAAGCAGACATTTCAATATCAACTTGATTTTATCCTTATTACCATAAAGAAAAAAAAAACATTATAGTTCTTGTAGAAATCTGGAAAACAATCTGACATTACCAACCAACAAACTCTGAAGTGGAACAAAAATTACAGTCTCTGTGTAGGTTTTAAATCCCCTCCGCATGCAGAGGAAAACATTGTAAAGCCTTTTGATTCTGTAAACTCTAGCTTTGAGAGACTTGTTTCGACTTGCACACACATTTTTGGTGAACATCTTGGCATTTCTTTTGTTTTTCATGTAAAGATGTGTGTGCAGTGGGAGTCTGTCTTAAAAGACAGCTATGTTTTTTTTTTTGATTAACGTTACCCATGCAATTCCATTTTTCCTATTTAGGTGAGCACATGTATTTTACTTATTGCATAGCCAAATAAAATAAACTGCATTAAATAAAATAAAAATAAAATAATTAAAAAAAAAAAAGGTTATAAATGATATGCTTTATCTTTGGTCACAATTTGTATCCTTTTTTACAGTCTATGTTTGTACCAGTGAAAAACTAATTTCTCAGTTTACCAATAAAACAAGATAGAACCATGAATAAACCAAGAATAAATGTTTTATATGAATTAGTTGTAATAAATAAATAGTTATACTAGTTATACTAGTTCGTTGTAATGTAGCTATACATTACAGCTATACAATCTGCCATATTATAACATACAGTTTCAGTACTTATTCAGAATAGGGCTTTGGTTTCCCAGTGGACACAAAATTTGTGAAGATGGTCCTCTCTGCAGAGCACAAAATCCAGGGGGGAGGAATAGGATCAGGATCCAACTTCCATCTGCAACTACCCTAACTACCATTAAGACCATCTGCAATTTCATTTAAATTCTTTTTGAACCCACAAATGTTACTGTTAGGATTAAATTAGTACATTTTCCTGACTGCTGTACAAGTTCCCTCTAGAAGTGGGTTATAAACAACTCTCTGAAAGACATCTTCAGGCAAGGTTTGCTTTATTTCCTTTTGCTCAAGGCACCCTGCATTCGTACTACAGGCGGCATTTAGACAGATATGAATGGAACTGTCATTGTCTTGACCAGCAAATGTATGTCTCATCCATGGAGAGAATTTCCTCTATTTGTAATTATATATTTTTGCAACATTAAAAATACATTTGGGTATGTTAGTGTTAGTTTCCATGAGCAATCCTCATGCTGGACATGAGTTGTGAGTTATTGCAGTAAAGGTTTCCTCTTGAGTTTGATCTCCCTCATGTATTGCAATTGCATTAACCGACTGTGTAGTTCTTGGGAAGTTGTGACTTGTGAGATGTTTAACTGGCGCCCTTGTATTTCTGCAGTACTTCTCCAGTATGAAAGCCTCCAAAGAGAACATGAGAAAATCAAAAAGGAGGTAAGACGTTTGTTGTCATGCTGTCCTTTCTTTCACCTATTTCTTTTGTGGGTGTTTTTTTTTTTTTTTTGCACTTCTACAACATCTGTGTGTGCATCTTAAACATCTTAAAAGGATAGTTTGCCCAAGTAAATTTTAAAAATCTTTAAATTATCTTATAATAGTTTTTAGTTTTATAAGTAGTTTTATCTTTAAATATTTTTCAGCACTGTCTATCGAAAACTTTTGAACCTTCAATTCATCAAATAATCCTGAAAAAATCCACAAAAATATTCAACAGCACGGTTTGGAAATACACGAGGTTGAGTAAATGTCAATGATTACAGAATTGTAATTTTTGGGTGAACTATTCCTTTAAGTTTAGTAAATGATGACAGAATTTACATTTTTGGGTGATCTATACATTTAAAATGATATTTCGGAGGGTTTGCTTTTAATAAAATAAATGCAGATGTTCTTTTAAATAAAAAATCTGTTCTATCAGTGTAATATACTGTATATTTTTATTTTATTTTGTTTCAGTGTAAAAAAATGCAAGTGGAGAGAGATGAGGCCTTACGGAAGTTGAAAGAATTTGAACAAGGTTGGTTTTAAAGATCTTAGATTTATCTCATTATAACATCCAGTGACATACTTCTGTTTAGTGCATTAAAGATGAACTTGAAAAGTACATGACACAAAAAATTTTAATAAAAAAATATTAATATAGCTTTTTTTAAGCAACACAAAAATTGCGCTTGTTAGTATAAGAGGGTCAATTTCGGGTAAATAAGAGTATAAAAAGTACATTTCGATGGTGTCTCTGGCATGGTGGAGGATCAGTTTCAGGCCCCACTTACAGTACAGGATCGTTTGGGGTGAAGTGACTGGTGTGGGCGCGGGCGCTGCCGGAGCATGGACACTGCACCAGCATGGACACTGAGTCAATCTGTTGCAGAGAGGTTAACCTGGAACATTTATTGATCGGCAAAGAATGAATGACCATGCACTGTTAATTTCGGATGCTGTCCGGTGAGAGAGACGTGTTGGAGGTGGCTATCATATCTCTAATGGATGTCCTAGCTGAGTTGCTGGAGTGCCCCATAAGTAGCAGGGTATTTTACAAATTGGCGACTGGATTAGGCTAACTTGTTATATCCTTTTCTCAAACTGTTTAGGTTAACAGCGTACTGGCAGTTAACTCTATGGGCGAGGGGAATTTGGGAAGGAGGAATAGGATTCCAATCTCATCCTGTACATCAGGGATCTTTTCCCCTCAGCCTAATATCAAGGATTCGAGTAACATTATGCGTTGAACTTGTAACTTGGCTAAATAAAACATTTGATGCAGACATTGTCAGACGCTTCATGTACTCATTGACGAAAGTACATATCTCTAAATAGTCTGTCGCTAAAAAATCCTCACTACAGACTCAAAATCCAGGGGCTGACGGAGGGCTAGACAGTTTTAAGGCAGCTAGCCGGTTTCCTTGTCATAGTTAGCCTGTGAAAATGTATGGTAACCCCAGCTGCCTTAACCCTATACAATTCATTATTACAGGTTTCTGTTTCCTTAGCCATGTCAGCTAGCCTCAGACTATTTACAAGCTACGGCTGCTCTGCTGGTGTGGGTAGGCAACGGAGTAGCTTACCATGCCAGTGCGCCTGTGTTACAAAAACAACATTTTCAACGTAAAATACATCTGTTATATTACCTTTTCTCCAATTTTAGTTTAGTATACCACCTTTTCTCAAATTTCATCTTTAAAACAATTACAAAAGCCCCGTTTCCATCGAAATTACTGGATCAATTTGTCCCAGGAACTTTTGTTTTCCCCAGAAATGTTGCTGTCTGCAGTGCCTTTCCACCGCAGTCTAAAAGTATCGTAAAGATTAGGCAAATTAGTCTGGATGACGTAGGACTGCGATGCATTACTTTACAGTTCCTGTTGGATTTCATCCTCTGAATTTAAGCTTAATAAAGCCTGAACCTCGTCGCCGGTACAGCGGTCGTATTTTTTAAACTCCATTGTTGATTCGAATAGCAAACAACTGTTACTGCACGCACTGTGCAGATAGAAAAAAAAATGTTGGTTGAAATAAAATGCTGCGTGGAGTCAACCAATCAAAATGTGGCATGAACTCAACCAATCAGCATGTTCAGCACCCAAGTCCCAAACTGAACTTCTAAGAAAAAGTACTACCTGGCAAGCAGTTACTTTTAGATGGGGACATACCCAGAACTTCATTTAGACACTGGTTCCTGCGGTGGAAACACACAGAATACCACCCCAAAGTCCCTAGTTCCCGGGGAAAGTTCCTGCAGTGGAAACGTGGCTAAAGAGTGCTCCAATTTCTGTGGAAAATACTGGTTGTGCGCTTTGCTCTTTTGAACTTTGATCCCAGAATCTTCTAAGAACTATGACACTGTTCCATATACTGTAGACACACCTACAGTAGTTATTCCATAACCACCATTTCCCTGTTTTACAACAAGACATGTTTTAATGTTATTCAAACTGCTATAAATCTAAGCAATTGGAGTTGTTGTTTAACCCCTTAAATGTCACCCCCTCTTTTTTGCATAGACATGAAAATGCATATTCCAAACTTAAATGGTTGTAATTCAAGAATGATTTGGAATATTGACGTAAGATTGGTCTGTTGACTTAAGAAGACATTTGGCAGATTTTTTATTAGTGAAATAAATTAAGAAAGTGAAAAAAAAATTGTAGAAGTTTGAGTTTATGAAAATATGCAATGTAAAAATGTATTTCAAAACATGTTGTATGGGGTGAGAATTGTTGCATTATTCCACATAAATAGATTATGATCAATTAATTTGGTTTATCAGATTATGAGATTCACACAAAGAGATGTATCAAATTCACAAATAAATAGATTAAGATCCACAAGTAGAGAGTTTCACAAATAATTATAAAACTCAAAAATAAATAAAATGAGATTTGCAACTGAAAAATATATATTTACAAATGTTTTTCATGCCACAAACAGAACTCTGCCTGGCATTTATTTGTGAACCGCTTTCTGTGCATTTGGAAATCCCCTCACTCATTTGTGGATTTTGAAACACTCCACCCACCGTTTCCTTGAGCCAATCAGATGAGCTGACCAATCGTAGCACCTTCTCAGATTAGGCTTTACACTCGGGGCGGGAACTGATTAATTTTGAAGAGATTTACACCCTTGAAATGGAGCTGTAAACTATGGGTGCTTCATTCAAATTGAGCTGTTTGTATGGTTTCCTAAAGGTTGTTTGAGTTTAAGGCTTTTTTATATTTCCATCAGGATTGCAATTATAATTATAATCACCATTCCGAGCATAAAATAGCCCATTATCTTCTCATTAACTGCCGTGGCAATTTCAAATAATGTAAAACTAACATGTTTGTAATGTTAACACATTTTGCCAATGATGTATTCTTACCTTCAGATATATGACGTGTCTAATCTTCCTTCTTGACTAGTGCTACATGCATAATTTGTGATAATATATAGGCTATACACTGGACGCGGCGCAGCGCGACACGATGATTCATTGATAGTAAATGGATGCCCGTTCTTCTAAAGTAGCGGCTACACGGAGGACACATCATTTGCACCTTTGCTTTGTCCAGTGTTAACGTTAGACTCTCACAGGGTAGATGGACCTGCTGCGTATTTAAAACTTGACTGAAGAAGTGGGAAAAGCTGTTGGGTCAGTAATTTCACCTATATTACACAAATGTATCACAAGGTTGAATCCAGCTATTCATTAGTCAGCAACTTATTGATGTTTTTCTGTTTTATCATGAAAAAACGTGACGCTTCCATAATGCATTGTTCCCATGTATGTACAGTACAGATGTACAGTACGCGCTGTTTCTCTGGTATTTTCAAAGGCTTATATAAATGTGTCTTGGCTTGATACACATATGGTCTATCTCTAACGAATATATAAATGTAACAAATATAAATGTGTCTTGGCTTGATACACTAATGGTCTATCTCTAACGAAATCAAAGTTTTAAACATATTTTGCCGTAGCAATGTTATGGGCCTGATTGGCTGTTGTGAGAACGTGCTTTGATTGGTCAGCTCAATGTAGCTGTTATCTGATTGGCTTGAGAAAACGGTGGGTGGAGTCCACTGTGGATTTCTTTCACTCTACGTTAGAAGTGTTTCAAAATCCACAAATACGTGAGGGGATTTACAAATGCACAGAAAGCGGTTCACAAATAAATGCAATGCAGATTTGTGTTTGTATCTTATTACTTTTGACTTATTCTATGTAATACATTTTTTTAAATGTTTTTTGGTGTTTACACAAGACACTCTTAAAATAAATTGCATCACTTCTTCTGGGGTTTTCTCAGCAGTGTAGTAACATAAGAACCTCCAAACATGATCAAAATCTTTTTTCTTCTAAAATTGAAATTGAAATGCCTCTTGAGAGCTTACATGTCATTTATACAGCTTGTAAGATTGGGATCGGTATCAGCCGATCACGATGACAAGAAAACGGTAGTCAGTATCGGCTGCAAAAATCCTGATCGGAGCATCCCTAGTTGATATCAGTCAGGTACATCCGAATGAGGGGAAAACGACAGGTTTTAGTCTCAAATGGGGTTTTCTGCGGTCCCTCTCTCGCAAAATCGCCGCACTTCACCTCTCTCGCACATCTATACAAACGTCACCTTCTTTTTCTTCCCTGGGGAAACATGGAATTCAAACACGTGAATTAAAAGGCGAAATTTAAAAAAAGCACAACAAATGGCTGCCGGAGTTGGGGAGGAGGGGAAAAAAATCCATTACATTCTCATTTTAATGCACAAAATAGGTCATTATTTGATAGAGAAGAGTGTGTGTTTTTGTGAATAATCTTGGCCTTTGCTCATGTTTCCTCCGCCATAAACGTGTATTGTGTATGACTTCCACTTAAATAGTGGCTGCAGCTTCTAGCAGAGCAGCTGCATATTAGGAGCTATTACGTGATTTCATAGCTCTCGGAAAATTGCTTCTATTCAGCGCAAAGCGACCGAGAGGGAGGCTGGCTAGGTGGGGGGGAAGTGGTGAGCGAGCGAGCAAGGAAAAAGCCCCCAACACACAATCATGTCTTTTCAATTGGAGATGGCAAGGTTGATGACAACATGACCATTGTGTTCTAATGATAAGACCACAAAGGCATCTGCCCCCTCATCAAGCTCGGCGCTGTAGAAACAGCATCAGAGGCTCTAATTCACTTCTCCAACACGCAGGCCCGATAGCATTATACTCTGCGTCCTCGTGCACGCAATCACTGTCTGTCTCTGAGAAGACGCGTGCACGAGGAACAGTGCGAGAAGAAAGAGATTTGAAGATGTAACGTTGATGGGGAGGCTAAAACTTACAATTAAAGCTGCCAAGCCTGACGTGTGAAGTCTCCCCCTCCTGCTCCGCAACTGCCTCACACTTAGCCTGGTTTATGTGTAGCTGCTATTACAATTAACCTGTCACTTAGTGCTAGTACTACCAAAAGAGAGAGAGAGATGAAAGATGGGGTGGAGGGAGACCAACTGGCAGCTAAGTACTGTTTAATGAGTGACAGGGAAAGGCTTACAACGGGAACTTGGATATCGCAGACACGGGCGTTCATCAAGTTTTAATTAGGTGTCATTGGGAGGCAGCCGCTGGCCGTGATGGCGCTAATTCCTGTTTTCGCCTCTCAACCACAATGTGTAATTAGTTAAGAGGCTGTGAGCTGGTCCGTGGCCAGTCTCTGGTGATTACGGACACAAATAAGGTAAGAGCTCCGGGCGTTAAGAGCGTCTGCCTCTTCCATCTCCCCATCTTCCGCCTCTTTGGATGCTGATAGATTGCGGCTGCTCGTCATACTGACTGCTTTTTTGAATTTTGAAAGTTTCCTTGCGCGAGAGACAAATATTTTCGAAAGGAAGGAATGTTTAGAGACACGGTGGGCCTTTGAATGGTCTTGTATTTGCAGAGAACACTCCAGAGATAACTCAATCCAAACAATAAGCTCGGCTAGACATACATGCGTTGATCTCAGTCTCCCATTCCTATAGGATCTGTATGAAGGGCATGACTTAGCTGACTTGAACAGATCTAGACAGCAGACAATAGCTGTATGAAGGCCAAGGTGAAGAGGTGATTCAACGGAAAAGAGAGTCTGAAAAGATTTTGCTATATAAGATGGACATTAACTGTTTTCAGCACCAAGATATATTTGGGGTCGTTTTTTGAAAGAAGTATCTTATGCTCACCAAGGCTAATAAAAATTAAGTAAAAAAAAAATAATATTGTGAAATATTACAATCTTAAAAACAGCTTTTGCTGCTTGAGACCATTTAAAATATTTGTGGTACGATTTTAAAAAAGAGAAAAAAATGAATACTTTTCTCCATCATGGATGTACTAAATTGATAAAAAGTGACAGTGAAGAGTTACAAAAGGTTCTATCAGCGCTACGTATTTGGAACCCCTAATAGGTTCGATACACTCTTAAAAAAAGGGTTTCTCTGGGTTCTAGAACCCTGGGGTTCCATACTTGGCCAATAGAACCTTTTACCAAAAAAAATGGTTCTATATAGAACCATTTTGGAGTTCCATATATGAAGCGGCGGATGGAACCATGTCTGGTTCTGAATAGAACCATTTCTTCTAAGAGTGTGTGATAAATTTCAGATACGTTTTCAGATATGCTGAAATAATGGTAAACTGTAATGAAATAGCAAGGTAAACTAACATAAATGAGACGTGAAATGAACACAAAAGACTATTCTAGTGCTTCAGGATGTAACTTTAATTTTATGTACTAGATTTACTGTCTAACATCACTCATCCCACTACTTTCATATTGTTTATAATACACATTTCCAGACACGTTCAGTACAGTAATGTTACTTCCTACGATCTTACTGTTACTCATGAAATTGTTCAGTCTAGTTCACTGACCGTTTTCGTTATCATTTTATACATTCACCTACTGTACGTTGACATTGCTGATCGTGAAAGATACATGAATAGTTAGTGAAATGCCTTATGCTAGATAACACCACAAATGTAACGCTATCATGGTACGAGCATGGAGCATTAGTTCAATGTCAAGCTGATAAAAGTCGCCTATTATTGTAACGTTGCAGTGGGAGTGTTGAAAGTCTCAATGTGGCCGTGTACCATGAGTGCTCACTCTTCTGTTCGAGCATGCGCAAGAGCATGAGCGATCTTGTAAAAATTAGTTGTAATCTGAAACATCACCATTAGAGGCCCCTAAAAAATACATATAGCACCTTTAATAAATACATTTAATAAATACAAATGAATTCTGTTCATATTTATTCATTAAAGAATCCTTAAAAAAGTATTAAGAACTACAATTATCTTCTTCATGTGTTAGTGACATCAGTAACCATAAAATTTACATAAACCCCACCCTGGAAATGTGATTTATAGATTATCCTGACAGAATATGCTAATGAAGATAGTTAATTCTACATCAGCTAACCTTTCAGAAATGTCCTGTTGCATTCTACATGTTAGTGCTGCTTACGTAATCAACCATGCAAATTAGTCGATGGCAATTTCTTTTAGTCGACGCGTCTTTTACTATTGACCGCCTATTTATGTTTGTCTCCCGTCTCAAACGTCTCACTGTAATTCACTTCCACACGCCAGTCTGTGCGCTGTGCATGCCTTGCTGGTTAATATGCTATCCTTTTCCTTCCCCCTCCCCTTATTCACTGCTTTGATATGAAAAATTGCGGAGGCAGGTGATGGTGCTTTCACACTTTTTTTTTATTCTGTGCTATTATGCGCAGCTGAGTGAACAACACAGGTGCGTGTGTCGCATAAGGTGGCCTTCTGCTGCTTGCAAACAGACTCTTTTGAGTAGCCAGTGGATTTCCAAATGTGTTGCCCTGATTCCACGCACTATGCACGAATACACTCACGCTCATGCAGACTCTCTCTCTCGCTCGTATCATCAACGCTATCACCGCTTACATGTCTTTTATTTAACTAATTACATCATAATCAGCTAAAACGCATGCGCAGGTCACTTTACTTCCTGAACAAGTGCGCTCTCGAGTCCGTGTTGCTTTCACATTCACGCGGACCGCGCACAGGCCCGTCATGTACGCAAGTGTAAATGCGAACTGCATAGCTGTGTGCCTGCCTGCTTTAAGCGCGATTCATCGTTAGGTAGAGCTAAGCGTATAGGCTAGTTCAGACTCTTTCAATGAAAATTGGCTTTATGCACACAGCTGCACTACTTCCTGAACTTTACCCAGCTCCTTGTTTCCTGTCTGCCATTATAGCTTTTATAAAACGCACTGGAACTTTTGCTCATCTACTCAGTATCGCCTCATTGCAGAATACGAGATCCAGGGCTCGGAGTTGGATCCAGATCTAAGGGGTGGAGATGGGCAGGATTAGGGGTTGTATTTGGATCCAACTCCTCCCCCTGGATTTCGTGTTCTGCAGTAAGGACCATCTCCATCTACTACGCGATATCACAGTTTGACATGTCAGTCATTTGGAAAGATCCACGTGGTGTCATGAATAATTAAGAGACATTGTCTTCTCATAAGATAAGAAAACTCAGTCTCATGAATAATTAAGAGACACCGATGAGTCATCAAAGCACTCACAGTCTACTGCGATGAAGATTTTACCATTTAAAGTTTACGATAAAGTTTAATCATTTCCCCCTACTATTAAATCTAACAGATTTTAACATTGTCTTCAATGGTGTTCAACACGTACCTCTGTTAAAATCTCAGAAATTGGGTTTCATTTTTTATCACGTAACTTAAAAACACTTACTGTATACACACACACATAGTGGGATCAAATTATGAAACCACTAAAAAAAACTGATGATCACCCTTCATCTCTTAATTAATCATGTTTCCTTTTTGAGCATCAGTAAAAGTTTGCACCTTTTGTAATTATTGTGTATATGAGTCACTCAATTGTCTCCAGTGTGAAAATATGTATGTATCAAAATCATATAATCACTGTTGGAACAAGTTCAAATATGCAGCAGATGCTGGAAAACTGAAATAGTCCTATAGAGTAACAGATGAGTGGATACAAAATTCAAGTCCGTATTAATCTTTCAATTAACATTAGATTTTAGAAAATGCATGAATTAGAACGATTTTTAGAATTAGAACGATATAAGAATTAGAATGATTTTTAGTTTTAGATGAAGTACAACGTGTCACACTACAGAAGACTGATTCGAGTGTTGTGACAGCAACTATTCAAACCATTCAAATCCTTACTGAGATTGTGTGTCCACCATGTATAGCTCCTGTTTTGTACACCAAATGTCCCCAGGCAACATTGTGTGAAAGGAGTCTGTTCTAAGTTTCAAGGCTCTGGACAAAGTAATTGCATGATGTTGTGACCTTGTCTATGAATAATAATAATAATAATACATTTTATTTAAAGGTGCCTCTCATGGCACTCATGGACACCTTACAAGATTCATAAAAAAAACAATAAACAATCAATACAGTACAGCAACACACATTAATCACAAAGAACCCTGCCTGTGTCATGATCCTGTACTATTCTGATCCTGCTTCAGTGTGTACATGACATTGTGTGAAAATTAGCCGTGTGCTTGCCTGTAGTGACAATTGTAGTGTGTTTGCATTGAAGAAACCATCAAAATATTTGACATATTTCTTGTCTTTAGTGTCACACAGGGTAATAGAGGAGGTGAACAACATTCAGGAGAATCTAGAGATCGAGAAGACATGCAGAGAGAGTGTGGAAGCTTTGGCTTCTAAGGTGAGGTTTTACAATAAAGTTGCGATTGTCTGTTCTGTTTTATTCTATTGTATTTGATTCTCCTCCTCCTGTTTGGTTCTGTGTGAATTGATTATGTTCTGATTCATTTGATTTTGTTCTTTTTTGTTTGATTTGAATCCCTTTCATTTTAAAACTGCAGTCCGTAGCTTTTTCAGGGCTAAAAATTGTCCAAAATACATATTTGAGAAAATACATAACCAGCCATGTCTTTGCGTCATTTTGTCACATCTGTACACATAAAGGAGTCTCGGCTAGTAGGCTATATTGCGAGTGAGGATGTTGGAGGTGGAGATTTATAGCCTTTTCTCACAGCACTTGATATTATTACACTTATCAATTTGATGGCGGATCCAGAAAGGATTAAACAACAATCACCAGTGAAAACTACGGAAGCCCTGAACCGCAACCTAAAAAAAAAAAAAAAATCTGTAAAAAAAAAAAAAAAAAAATCTAGCATTTCGAGATTAAAGTCGAAATGTTTCGAGATTAAAGTCGAAATGTTTCGAGATTAAAGTCGGAATGTTTCGAGATTAAAGTCGAAATGTTTCGAGATTAAAGTCGAAACATTGTGCATTCATAACAGTGCGCGTCCACTGGCTCAGAGCGCACGCGTGTGTGTGTGTGTGAAGTCAAACTGCCATGGATAAACCCAAAATAGTAGCTTTTTACTTTTATCTGGGCTTTCAACAAAATTCTACACACGTCACACGTGCTAGTGGCAGTGTTTCTGAGGGGTTTTCGTGCTTGTCTAGTCAACACTATCTGGGTCGAGAACACAACAGTAACTGTTCGGTCTCCCTCTTCAACGTAAATACGCTCTGGATACATTTTAAGTGCATCATTCTGTATCCAATCATTTGGCCGGATCCTGTGATTTCCTAAGATTTAAAAACCACTTATGGTTGAGGAGAGATTCTCTGATATGATTGTAAAGCACTTTGAGTGTAGGCATATATGAAAGCGCTATATAAATGCCCTATTCATTCATTCATTCATTCATTCATTCATTCATAAAGCTGGATTTCTCCATCCAGTCTGAAAAGTGTTTTCCGTGTTGGTTTTCCTATAGGCTAAAGTCTATTCCGGCGCATTATATTTTATAATGATAAAGTAAGATAAGTAATTCAGATAAAAGTAAAAAGCTACTATTTTGTGTTTATCCATGGCAGTTCGACTTCACGCGCGCGCTCTGAGCCAGTGGACGCGCACTGTTATGAATGCACAATGTTTCGACTTTAATCTCGAAACATTCCGACTTTAATCTCGAAACATTTCGACTTTAATCTCGAAACATTCCGACTTTAATCTCGAAACATTTCGACTTTAATCTCGAAATGCTAGATTTTTTTTTTTTTTTTTACAGATTTTTTTTTTTTCTGACTTTTTTTTTTTTTAGGTTGCGGTTCAGGGCTTCCGTAGAATTCAGATTCACCCGCTGATTCACCAGATTCACCCGCTGTAAAATGCAAACAAAAAAAGAGACTGCAACCGGACCCATGCGGAACCAAGGATACATATCGGAAGGATATGGATATGTAATCACGCAATGCTTGCTTACGTTGTTAACATTAACAAATTGTGAACAAAGTATAATTCGTACGGTTTTGCGTGATAGGATAATTCAGAAGCGATTGTAAGATTTAATCAGCGTGATTTACTGCAATGTCCGAACCAGAACAAAAGTGGATGTTTCTTACTTGTTCAGATGGTCATACTTCCAAAAGGAATAATCTGTGATTCTGAATTCCAGTATCACACCGGGGCGGTGACTGACAGCCTCACACTCTCCTCAAACATTGTGTACATTCGCGCTGTGCCGTGTCGAGGGTGTCGAAGTACAACTCACGTAAAGTTGTTAATTCCGCGAATGACTGCAATTGCAGATTTCAAACAGAGATGACGACAAAGAGGAAAAACGCCAGACTGCAGCTTTAATTTTCTTGTGTTCGGTTTCATGTGATTCAGTTTCTTTTGATTCCGTCTGTTCTGTTTTATTTGATTCTCCATTGTTCTGTTCTGATTCAAATGATTTTTCATTTGAAACTTTTTTGTTATTTTTAATTTGATTCTGTTGTGTTCTGGTGTGTTTGATTCAGTTTTGTGTCATTTGAATATATTTTGTTTTGATTCATTCTGTTTTGTTCTGTTTCATTTGATTCTTCTCTGTTGTTTTATTTGATTCTCCTCCGTTCTGTTCTGATTTGATTCATTCATTTGATTATGTTCTGTTCTTATTTATTTGATTCAGTTTTTTTTCTTTTAATTCTCTTTTGTTCTGTTTCATATTATTCTCTTTTGTTGTTGTTTTTACTCCATTCTGTTCTGTTTATTTTGATTCTCTTCTGTTCTTTTCATTTGGTTATCTTCTGTTTCTTGTGATTCTCTTTTGTTCTGTATCTTTTGATTCCATTCTGTTGTTTTTCATTTTTATTTTCTTCTGTTCTGATTCATTTGAATCTGTTCTTATTTATTTGATTAGATTTTTCTGTGCTTGATTTAATTGTTTTCTTTTGGTTCTTTTCTCTTCTTTTGGTTTGTTATTATAAATTCTATTCTAATATTCGTTTTCTTCAGTTTCTTTGCTCTACTCTTCTTAGGAACATTACTTCTAGAATCATATACTCATGTTTTCGCTTGTGCTTTCATGGTAAATAGGCTGGGATCCATCATGCCTCCATCCATCCAACATTCCATCCATTTATTTCCTCCTCCATCCTGAGCAAAGTACTCACAATTGTACTCCACGTGGGCAGTCACTCCATTGAGTTCATGCTGAAGTCAATCTTGAGACTATTTCCCTCCCATGTACCTGCATCTTGGTGTTGACTGCCTGCCCACCTCACTGGTCCCGCTCATTACAGAAGTATTCAATTTACCATCAGTCCCTGCTCAACACATTGTTTAGTCGGGTTTCGGGTCCGCCGCTCAGTCTGGTCTGAAATGTGAAGTGGCATCTACGCTGAACGCTCAGCAGGTAAATGGATCTCTAAAAGCCCAGGTGTGAGGCAAATTAGCGGGAACGATTACCGGCTCATTGCCGTCTATCTGATGGATGAATCAACTATCCTCTGCTGTCTGTCGGTGATGAGCGCTGATCACCACACACAGAGAGAGAAATGAGAGAACAGTAGTAGTGAAAAGAATTAAAGACACAGATAAAAGAGATAAAGACCAGGAGAAAATAGTCTTTAGGTTAAAAAAAGGACACTGTTGTCCTGCGTTTTTAGAAGCAGGCTAGCTGTCGTGTGACCTCTTTCTTTTTCCAAGAAAAGAAGACGTTTTACCACGCAAAGGAAAACAGACTTTCATTTTTGTATATGACAAAATTGACTAAGATGACCAAAACCTGTGGTTCTCGGTTATTTAGCATGGTCAAAGATTATTGTCACTGCCATTTCTTGAAAATCACTTTCTAGTGTAGTTCTAGAGTATTCTCTAGAGGTGTCATTTTTTTCCCTTGAAGTATGTGAAGCCATCACAGATGTCACGTCACAATTTCTGAAAGCTGCGGTTGAGGAAGACGGTGGAGCATTTCATTTGTGCGGAGGAAATAGACCTGCAGCTGGGCCGTTTTGTGCCTCAGCATTATGTGTTGGATAAAAGCTCGATTTAACCAATCAATGGTTTCCTGACATCCTTAAATGCACAGCCCAGCTTGTTCTGTGTTGGCCGGTGGCCACTGTGCACGAAAACCGGTACAGATGCCCTTTGTCCTGGTTGCTCTGTGAACACCCCCACAACGATCCATTCAGAACTAACAGCAAGGTTCTGGCCTTCACAGGTTTGCTCAACTTCTATCTGTCAGGACACATGTCTGATTGAGGATGCAGTTGTTTTTGTCACTAGTTGCTCTTTCAGCATATACCGTAGCTGAATTATCTCAAGTGCCTCATCTGTCTTTATTGAAAGGCAGCCAGGAAACACTTTGCATTGTATTGGTCTCTTAAGTTCTAGTTTTATTGCATTAAACTGGTTGATTTTCCCAAAAGTTTTGTTTTATTTTACCATTTGAGGACAGTGAGGAAATTTTTTTTTAAATGCTGCTTTTATTCCAGTCTTTAGTGTCACATGATCCTTCAGAAATCATTCATTGACACATTCCTGATTATTATCAGTGTTGGAAATGGTTGTGTTGCTTTGAAAATTTTTGTGGAAACCTTGATACTTTTTTCAGGATTCTCTGATGAATAGAAAGTAATTATTTAAATAGTAGTATTTTGTAATATTCAAATTTTTTAATTTAATTCGTACATGTTGAATAAAAGTATTAATTTCTTGAAAAGGAAAAAAATCGTACTCCAAACATTTGAACGGTTATGTTTTGCGATGAATGGCTGACTTTTTTTGTATACATTCCCATTTAGAAAAGCACACTATATTAGTACCATATACATTTTTTTATTTTTTATTTTCTATTGGTGGTAGTGGACGATATTGCTTTTTAGTTTTTACATTTGCTATAATTTTTGTTAATCTTTAAAAACACTAATAATTTAAATGTTAAATGTAATCATTAGCATATTAGCAGAAGATTATAATGTTGTGGTGCATAAATTGTATCAGTTAAAGCATTAAAAGTGGTTAATTTTATATATATATATATATATATATATATATATATATATATATATAAGTGTTTTGTTTTTAATGTATATACATACAATTTTCTAAAATTGCAATACTCTACGTTTATCTATTATCTGCCATAACATGAAGATAATAATCGCCTTATCAGTATTGTCCAGAATTGTAATATTGGTGCATTCCTTGGGTTTATTTTGCCACAATGACCAGCTGACTGTATATTATCCCACTTATAGCATAAATGAATAACTGGAAATTAAATATTGATATTGCCTTGTTGATTGCTGTATTTGTGTAAAGTAATCTTGTGTATATTTATAAAACAAGTGTGGAAAACTTGATTTGCATCTCAGTATGCATGGTGGAAAATAAATCTCACCTCTTCCTGAAAATGCGAAGGATACGTTGTGAAAATTACAGCATTGGCTCGTTCCAAATTTACATTTAAATGAGTCCAAAAATTTTGGTTGGTGTGACTGGAAGATGGTGAGCAGAATTGTCTCAAAAAGTCTCTACATTTCAGCTGTATGATTTATTGTGTATGATGGCTGTAATTTTGTCTGCCAAGAAACCCGAGGCTGGCAGACACCTCATCTACCTAAAAAAAAAAAAAAAGAAAAGAAAATCATAATCAATTTCTTAAACTCTGGAACATTTTGAATTAAAAAGCAGTAATGGATGAGGGTTAGAGGGTGGTGGCAGTCAAATCAAAGTGCAATCCAAACACATGACATTTTGTTTTGATGTGTGATCAGAGGAGATGAGGGGCCTGGCCACCTCGGGACGCACGTCTGATTTCTGCCACTGTGTAATTTTGCCGCTGCGCTCTCATCAATGCCGGATGATTATCACAGAGCGAGCGTGCATGTGTTTCTGCATGTTTATACCCGTATTATGTGTTGTTGATTGCGTTTTTAAAAGATGCATTCAGCAGGAAGGATGCCATCAGGAAATGGATTCACGTGCTGTGCGTCCTCACTTGGATGTCATTAATAGAGGCTCGTTAAAGACGGGCCATTTTTATCCCTGCCTCCCACTCTTTTTCTCTTTCTGACCGGAATGTCATCCGGGACTAATTTACATACCTCCACCCCCATTGGCTCTCTGAATTTCCATTAGGTGGACTCCCTAATTGAAGTGTGAATGACCAGTCTTAAATTACTTTAATTGGATGTTCAAAAAGGTAAAAATGTCTCGGATGCAGTTATGTACATGTTGCGATGGTGGGGGTTCGTGTCCGTGCCTGATAGAATGCTGTAATTATTTATGAAAACAGGAGTGTCTGCTGCTGCTGCCCCTGCATACGTGTAATGAAATGTCTATTATTTTGCCCTTGATTATTGCTCTTTTCCAGAGTGTTTTTGCTGTGTGTGTTTGGCTGTGTGATTGAGGGGAATTGCATGAGCGCCTGCTGGGGTTCCAGTGGGTTGGTCTGTCTACATGCTGCTGATTTGATTTCTCATATCTTTTCACTCTGAGGCAAATGCAGAAAATCACCGGCTCGGGTTTTATATCATTTGTGGTGTTACAGGTGTCATTTTGATCTCTGATTATTCCTATAAATGTGAAGACATTGCCCTCACTAGATTAACTTGTGCTGGTTTTGCAATATTTTTTTTTTTGCACTGTCAAAAGACACTGTATTTTCGTTCTCTTTACCAAGACTTGGCACCACCAAGGTCATAGGGTTCAGATGAATACCTTGCAAGCTCTCTAGGTCACTTTGGATAAATGCGTCTGCCAAAAACACACTATACTAATATATATCTTTCTTTCAGTTGAATAAACAGAACCGTTCTTTGAAGAGGAAGAGTATGCTCTATATATCCCGTCTTGGTGCCAATGTCATCGCTGACATCAATCTTGATGATGAGGATGAAGAAGACCCACAGGAGGAGGAGTCAGGTGTCTGCAGCTCCTCCCACTGTCAGATTGTCATCACAGGTGGGTCAATGCACTGTCCCACAATGTATTACTTCACTTTTTTCACTTAATGCTTTGTACCTGCATATTAAAGGTCAATATCATTTAAATTAAAAAAATATAATTTCTACACGACTTGCAGCTAAAGAATAAGCTCAACTGGGCCTAACAACATTGGCTCCTCATGAAATATATATATCATATATGTTAAATACAAATATCTTATATATATCTAAATATAAATATCTTATATGTTGTGTGGTTGTGTTTTCATGATTCTTCTGATGTTAATTAATACTATTGTATCCAAAAAATATATTATCTATCTATTCACCTATCTATTGAGATATTAGGTGTATGTATGTATGTATGTATATCAAAGTGACCATAGGCTTTCAAAAACCGAAAAGGAAACAAAACACACACATAATACAAGTAATACATAATACAACACAAAACATTGTAAAAGTAGTCCATTCAACGTGCTTTATTCCAAGTCTTACAAGCATTCAGTATTTTTTTGTTTAGAAACAGACCGAAAATTAAGTTATTTTTCACTAATAATTTCCCCCTCCACTGCAGTTCTCAGTTCATGATTTTTGGTTACAAGACTGTTCAGTTTAGGCTGTTTTGTACTGTAGGTTTTTTATTAAAACTTTTCTTGTTCATCCGTGGTAGAGCTGAGAGATAAATTGGAGGTGATCCTGGCTGAGAAGAAACAGATTTTGATCGATCTGGAGACAACAAGAGAGCAGCTCTGCCAAACTAGACAGCAGGTATGTGAAAAGGGCATTTAATCTCGGATTTTACTGTATTAATGATCCAATATTCATCTTTAAGGTTGATCTTCTGTACATAATTTAAAAAAAGGCCTAGCATATACACTCTAAAATCATTCACTTTTTTTAATGGATGTAAAAACCTCTCAAAGCGGAACTGTTTTGATCCTCCTTCTTAATGTCTTTAGTGTTAACGCTTGCCATGTTCCACTGTAGCTTCACTCAGAATAATAACCATTAAATAGAAAAGAGGGGGTTGTCTTTGTGTCATGTTGTTTAATGTTTTAGCTGAACCAGTAATACCCAAATAAGTGAAGCCCTCACTCTCCCTTTCTTCCTAAGCTCCTGAAAGAGAAACATGATAATACTGTTTTAATAGCTGAAACATTCCAACAAAAGAAGCTCTTGGGAAAATACAACAGAGGTCAGTTGTGCTCCTGTTCCCTACTATATCCTCTTACATCAACCACTCTCTCTCTTTTTACTGCTTTCCAATCCAGACATTCATTGATCCTAACCTTTGATGAACTTTGCACATGTGTTGCCTATAATAGAAGAGAATGGTAATTTGAAAGGCACTTGGTACTACTTTCTTTAGCCATGTTGAATTTTGTTGTCGTTCACTACCGTTCAAAAGTTTGGAGTTAATTTATTTTCTGTTTTTAAAGAAATACTTTTATTCAGCAAAGATGCATTATATTTTTATTTTAAATAAATTCTGTTTTTTTTTTTACTTTTGATTCATCAAAGAATCCTGAAAAAAGTGCAACTGTGACACTGAAGAGAAAACTGAAATAATGGCTGCTGAAAGCTTTGTCATCAGAAAGATGCATGACATTTTAAAATATATTAAAATAGAAAGCAGTTATGTTCAATTATAATAATATTTCAGAATATATAATTAAACAAATGCAGCTTTGCTGAGCATTAGAGACTAAAATCTTACTGACCCCAAACTTTTGAATGGTAGTGTAAATAAATGACCTCTAAAGAGGACAGCAGAATTATGGGTAAGGGTCACCTAAGGTTACACCCTGAATGCTTTTAAAATTCTGTGCCATTTACTGAGTGCCCTGTTCTGACTACATCAGAAGTCGAGTATGAATTTACGTGGCACCATAAACATTTCAAAGATGCTTGTGTGATTGAATTGTTTGCGACGGACATCAAGGCTCCAAACTCTAACCATCTGAATCCTTACCTGTATAGTTTCTAAGTATGCTCTAGATGAGTTTGAGGCCTTACAGGACGATCTAAAGCTTGAGAGGGACCTGCGTTCTGAAGCAGAGAAGTTTGCACATGAGGTGAAAGCTCAATTTGATTTGATCTCATAATTAATTAAATGAATGAAATGTATTAGACATTCTAGGAACTGTGAATATTTATGCATAATATTTATGTGCATTTCTGGAATATGTTAATTAAGTGGTGTGTGAACGTGCTCTTTATGTGCCCTCTCTCTCTCTCTCTCTCTCTCTCTCTCTCTCTCTCTCTGTCTGTGGGTGTATGAAGATGCTAGTAGAACAGAAGAAGCTGAAAAGACAAAGCCAGATGTTGATCCAGAATGTTTCTCCAGCAGAAGCTCTGCAGAAAGCTCTGGCAGAGATCAACACACTGACACACACTCTAGAGACGCAGAGATTTGAGCATCAACAGCAGGTAACATACATACGCACACATACACACAAACTAATCCCCACAGTGTCCTTAGAGGGTAAATACTAAATGTCATTAAAATAATAACAGACAAACCAATCAAATCAACCACACCAGCCCCTCCCAGTGCCACTCAAACACTCACACATGCAGTGTATTACTTGCTTGTATAAAATGAGAAAAATGTATCAGTATTCTGCATTTAAATAATCATTAATGTATGATTAAAGGATTAGGGGAAATGGTTGGAGTCAACTTGACTTACTTTGAGAGCGTTTGTCTGGGAGAGAGGCTGGTCACCATTTAATTTTCATGACATAATCTTCACATGATGACAGATTTACATTTTTACAGTTCAAAGGTCACATTCCATTTTAACAACCCATGTTTTGTTTTGTTTTTTGTCTTTGATTGTTGTGCTTTGTGTATTTCGGTGGAATCTAGGTAAAAGCGCTTGAAGAACAGATACACGGCAGTGAATTAAAGAAGCAGCTGACAGTGTTACTGAGACAGACAGAATTGCTGGAGGAGGAGAGAAAAGAGTGGCAGCACAAACACACTAAGGCTGAAACTGAAGCCAAAGACCTCAGATTCACAGGTACCAGTGTTGTGATAAATTCAGAGTCGAAGAAAGAGTTTTAAATTCATTCCAATTCAATTAAAGTCTGGATATTGTTTGATACCTCTGTTAAAATTCTTAAATTGAGCTGGAATTTAAAAAGCATTCTAAATTCAAAAAGATTTACAACCCTGAAAGTTTCACATATTTCCTAAACCACATAGGGCTTCATCAGGTCTCGTCTGTTGTGAAGTTGTGTTGGAGGACAGATGCCTCCAACTGCATTTATATGATCAAAAATACCATAAAAACATTAATATTGTGAAATATTATTACAAAATAGCTCTTAAAATAGCTGTTTTCTATTGTAATATATTTTAAAATGTAACTTATTTCTAGTGCAGTCATTTCAGCAGCCATGTTTTCAGTGTCACATGATCCTTCAGAAATCATTTTAATAGGTTGATTTGGTGCTCAAGAAACTGTTATTATTATTATCAATGTTGAAAAAAGGATTCTTGGATTCATAGTATGTTCAAAAGAACAGCATTTAATTGAAATAAAAAAAATGTAGCATTATAAATATCTTGCCTTAGTATTATTGTTATTTTTTATTCAATTTAATGAATCCTTGCTTAAGTATTCATTTTATTTCTTTAAAAACAAGTAGTGTATGCTACACTTACACCAAACCATGTGTTTGTATCTCTGAGAACCCTGTGTGTTTTGCAGTGGAGGAGCTTAAAAAGAAGCTCCAGCAGATCTCCAACCCACCAGCAGCTGCCCCAGCACCCCCTCCGCCTCCCCCACCTCCTCCGCCTCCGCCTCCACCCCCTGCCCCCTCAAGCAACCCACTCAGGTGAGTGTCTGTTTGTGCCCCAAACCCCTGAAATGAGTGTAAACATGTTCTTATGAGAGTTAGCATTTGGCAAAATCCCCAAAAATCTGATGAAAATTGGTTGCAGTCAGTGAGCTGTTTGCTCAATGGGCTCAGTTTCAATGACATTTACATTTATCTGGCGCTTTTATCCAAAGCGACTTACAATTGCTAGATATGTCCGAGGTCGCACTCTGGAGCAACTAGAGGTTAAGTGTCTTGCTCGCAGTGGATTCGAACCCAGGTCTCTCACACCAAAGGCATGTGTCTTATCCACTGCACCATCACCACCCCCATATCGTTCTTGTTGAATCAGGACGTTTAAATTAAATGTTGAAGGGCTTTTCCTTTTTTCTTTTTTTTCTCTTTTTTCATTGTTTAATAACCAGTAGCTATTTTTTGCTAATTCTGTCTTTTGTCTCTGTCTGTTTCAGCTCATTACTCTCTATACTTCGTAAGAAAAAAAATGTGAGCGCTGAAATTGCATTAGTGGAGAAAGACTCCTCTGAGAAAATCCCAGGTAAAGAGCAAAGCTCTGACACATTTCCATTTCCATTCTATAAATATACTCAGGTTAAAAGTTCTGCTGTTTGAAGGATGCTCGTAATAATTAATAAATGCAAAGATTACATATATTGATCTGTTAAAAGCACCGTAATTATAAGAGGGTGTTCGCCATCAAACCGTGTGAAAGATCTCATATGTTTATCTTGACCTTTTGGACCAGTGTTAATTAAGGTGCATCAGTGTATTCAATCAGACGGAATGTAATTAATATATATTATTCCGCACAAAGTAAAGTTCTGTTCCTCATCACAGCAGTGGGAAATAAAAAAATATCTGGGTCAAGTTCAAGTTTGTCCTGAGCCATTTCTTTCAGCCTTGTACTAAAAAAAATAGAAGGGAAGAAGAAAGAAGACATGCAGCTTTTTTGCTGAAGGGCAAATACGTTTGTATAGAGTTTGGATAAGTAATTACCCATTTATGCTAACAAAAATCTAACAATTCTTCAATTATTGGCACAATGTTCAGGTTTATAGAATTTCAATTGTGAACTTTATTATTAGGGCTGGGTATTGATTTCTTGATTTTAATCGATTCTAACTTTTACGAACCAATATCGATTCTTAAATACCAAGAATTGATTAGGCTAGTCATCCTGTTTTCAGTTGTTGAAAGAATGAAACATTGTAGTGTGAATCCCATCCAATAAATCCCAGTAATCTTTGTGGTTTGTTACTATTGATATGAAACAAAGTGTCAGATTTAAAATTACATCCATTTTTTTTTTTTTTTTTTTTTTACAAAATTCAAAAACATAAATACTGCTTTGGTGCAGCTCCGCTCAAGAAGCTTCTCTTCTGCCTTAATAATACCAGTTACAGCATGAAATCAACATGATTGAGCATCTGAAAGTGTGTTAAAAGATAGAGTACAACAACTTATTGAAATCAATAAAACAGCTTGAAAAAAATGTCATGTAATGTCACATTTACCTCAGAAAAATCATATCCAGTGATCATAAACTCGTTAGTCAGATAGAACAAATAACTCTAGAGTGGACCATTTTGCTAAATATATGCACAATATAACATATTCATTATGTATGCATTATGTAATGTTCTTCAATATTTAATGCATGTTTGAATAAATCTGGCAAGTTTTTTTTATGACAGTCACCATTTAAATGTTTATATTTCATATAACTTTATTATAATAAAAACAAATAAGTGTAATTTAAGTGTTTGTATACAGTTAATTTTTACCTTCAATATTATAGTAGTCTAATCGCTGACTCTCATAGTTTACAGCATTTGTTTAGAGATTTGTTGTCCTTGAGAAAATTTGCCATGTATTGTATGTGATATCCAAAATAATCAATATTGAATCGAATCGGAATCTAAATCAAATCGAATTGCAAGCTTGTGAATCGAAATTGAATTGAATTGTGAAATTTGTGTAAATACCCAGCCCTATTTATTTTTAATATTTCAGTTTTTCTTGTTAATGTCAATTTGTACGACCTCAAATGAATAGAGGGTTTTTATTGGACTAAAGTGAGCTTTGAAATGCACCACCAATTTAGTGTGTTTGGAAAAGAGAATGTTTTTAAAAAAAATTTATCATGTCAGAAAAACATCAGACTGGTAATAATATTCACATTTTTGTTCCAGTTAATGACAGAATGATTAAAAGTGTTTCCAAGGCCACTAAACAAACATAAAAATCATAGATTAACTTTCTTTTGATTTATATATATATATATATATATATATATATATATATATATATATTTGTGAATGCAAGTTCAAATCCCTTGCAAAACCCTCGCAATACTGTTGAGTTCTGTCGATATGTTTGATATTATTCAGTGTCTTAATTGACTGCTGATGAAAAGCAGCAGCCGTACATTTATCTACATAAATGCTTTTTATCATAAGTGCATCTGCATATTCTATAACTGAAGTAACATTCAGGCAATGAGTGTGTGTTTTAATCTGACAGAGAAGGACATCAAACAGCAAGCCGTGGATGAGATGATGCAGCGAATCAAAAATGGAGTTCAACTCCGACGGGTTTGCCAGACAACCAGCAAAACCAGACTTGGACAGGTACACCTTTCATAAAAACAAAACACTCACAGTCTGAAAACAACTTGACATACAAACTCCACTTTAACCGCGCTTAACTTACTTTTCTATACAGTTAATCATTGTATTTAAATTAAATTACTTATATGATTGCCAAACAATTTATCAAGTAACTCCCAATTAAAGGCATAGTTAACCCAAAAATGAAAATTCTGTCATCATTTACTCACCCTCATGTTGTTCCAAGCCTGTAGAAATGTATTTGTCCTGTTAAACTCAAGAATGTGGAAAACTGAATAGTTCCATTGATTCCATAGTATTTTGTTCCCTACTAAGTCAATGGTGCCCTGAAGCGGCCCAGTTACAAACTTTCTTCAAAAGATCTTCTTTAGTGTTAAGCAAATCAAAGAAGTGTATACAGGTTTGGAACAACTTGATGACAGAATTTTCATTTTTGGGTCAACTCTCTTATTTGGGGTTAGTTAGATTTATATAAACAAATCTAATTATATATATATACTGTATATATATATATATATATATATATATATATTTATTTATATATATATATATATATATATATATATATATATATATATATATCAGCATATTAGAAGGATTTCTGAAGGATCATGTGACACTAAAGACTGGAGTAATGATGATGAAAATTCAGCTTTGCATCACATGAATAAATTGTAATAATATTTCATAATATAGTTTTTACTGTATTTTTGCTCAAATAATGCAGCCATGCTGAGAAGGCCATACAATAGTTTTTTTACAAAATTATTATTTTAAAAATAATAACACCCACTTACATAGTCTTTCATTTCATGACATGCTACTTTGTTACATGCTAATTTTTCTGATGGGTTTCCCTGCAGAAAGAACGGACACCATCAAATTCTGCCATACAGGAACTTCAGGGAATCCTGGTCAGGATTGCTTTTTTTTTCTAATTGAATATTATATTATTATAATCACTTAAATATATATATTTTATATGAAAGTATAGATTTGTAATTTAAAAAAAAAACAATTTAATGAATTAAAAGCTAGCTCTTAGCATGGTAATGGAATCTTTCTGTTAAGACCTCCGCCAAGCGCCCTGGCCCCTCCTCCTCGCATGGGACACGCCCTCCATCACCATCTCCGAAGTCTGAGCTAGAGAAAGCCCTGCACAAACGGAGGGAAGCATTGAAGACTGCAAAGAATAACTGTCAGTCAAACACAAACACACACACACACACACACATTTCACGACATTTTCTCTATGTCTCTTGAGCCAGATCATCCATTTATCTTTTCAACCCTTCCCTTCCAGCAAATCCCAGTAGTGTTTTGGATCTGACCCAGATTGAGCAAACCCAGCCAGAACCAGGGCAGGACACAAGGGAACAGGACACACCACTACACACACCAACCACAATATGCACTGACCTTCTCAAGCCCTCATAGGAGCTCATAGGTTGTGAGTATCTGCTCTATTGTGCAGAGCCATACAATACATCACCAACAAAGTATGTCGTCCTGCAGCAGCACAATTCATCCAAACTAACAAAACATGTGACTACAAATGCCTTGTTACATATTATTTTAAAATATAATACTGCAGAAGTTCAACCATAATGTTTCATGTTATGTTTAAATTTTTCATAAAGAAAGTTTCATAAGAAATAGTAGGTAGCCTAATGTAGGGTCCAAAGTTTTAAAGTTGAGACACACATGCACACATATTTTAGCGCTCCGTCACTTAGGCCTATTTGGTTTACCTGGAAACATTTCCGTTGTGGTCTGTGTTATTTGCAGCGCGTTTCTGTATTTGGTTGTGTTGTGAACTTTTGCAGTGCATATCTGTATTTGGAGCACACATGTGTTGTGAAACTGATGGCGATTTTTTTAATTTGCTGGTGTTTTTTTTTCTATTTGCAAGTATTTGCTTCAGTTGCAGCACGTTGAGCTTTCTCGGCCACCGTATGGTGGGCCAGAAAGTCCAGGGCCACGTTTTGGTCCCAGTCCGCCCCTGCGAGAGGTTGCTTGAATGAGAGAAAAAAATCGGGATGAGATCTCAGATGTTTTTATAGTAATCTCAACAATGTTAATTAACAAATTTGAGCACAGTTTGAGGATAACTCAAATATTCTTCACAGACCTAAATATCTAAACTGCATCCTGAGCATTTACAAAGTTGAAACTTAAATGAAAGACAACTGATAAATCTATCTTCCTGAGCTATGAAAGAGCAAACCCTGAGCAATAACTTAAAAAAAAAAACATATTAGTGAAGTTGTATTAGCTTGAGAACATGCACAAATCTTTTAGTGGTATAATGTTTGATTTATTTTCTTGGCTGTGATGAACTTTTTAATAGTAGTGAAACGAAATCCCCTCGGTCCCACAGTCTTGTACTTTGGCAGGACCAAAGGACCACTGAACAAAGTTATTGACACATGCTTTGTCTGTGTGAGAAGCATTTCTAGAGGGGCGTTGGTGACTAGCCTTGAACATGTGCCAACCTAGTGTGTTTTCAAATGGCTTTGGCTAGACTAGTAATAACCTTGCAATGTCCCACTCTGTAATTACAAGCCACTGGTGTGAACTTAACCCCCTTTAAATATCTTTTTACTGTTTCATTGGTCTTTTTCTCACAGAAATTGGTGTTTTCACCAACAATAGAGAAGAGAAACAATTTCAGGTCATCAATCACACACGACTATTATTCCTGAGACAAATTTTTAAAATAACAGACAGTGAATTGATGCTATTTATATATCTATTGACTGAGTTGTAATGAAATGTGTTATTCTTTTTCAAATTGTCCATATGCCAACATGACAATAAAGCGCTATTGAATAGAATATATAAAGCAGTTTAGTTTAAATGGGTGGCTGAAGCTTTCTGAAAGCATGTGTATAGCCACAGGCCTGAGGAGGTTTCATTTATGGCAGCCCAGAAGAGACATTGTGAGAGGCGGCGGATTTTTGTGATTCTAAATGCTTCATTTAAGGGCAGACTTTCGTAAGGTGTTGTTATATAGAAAAATACTTTGGTTTAGATAGAAATGAACCCCTTTTCTGGAGCCAGACACTACATAAACTTTTCTTTCGTCAATGGAAGGAGCCATTTATGAAAGGTTCATGATATTTCTTTTTAGTGTGGAGTTCAAAATGTTCATGCTGTCAAATTATGATTTTTAAGTGATCGCACATTTCTAGTACAACCCCACTCCCCCCCCCCCCCTCCCATCAAATAGGGCTGAAGTGCAATTTAAAAACACTTTATATATATATATATATATATATATATATATATATATTAAAGCTACTAGAAAAAAATATTTGATAATGCCGTTTTAATGCCCTTCAAAACTTAAGATGTCTAAAAATTACGTATATAATTAGTGTTCAAAAGTTTGGGATCGGTTCATATTTTAATGTTTTTGAAAAGTCTTTAATGCTCACCAAGGCTGCATTTATTTGAACAGAAATACAGTAAAACTGTAATATTGTGATCCTTCAGAAGTCATTGTGAAATGCTGATTTGATGCAGATCAAAGTTGAAAAAAGCAGTTCTGCTTAACATTTTAATGGACACCGTGATCCTTTTTTTCATGATTCTTTGGTAAATTTGGCATTTAGTTGAAATTAAAATCTTTTGTAACATTTTAAATGTCTTAACTGTCTTGTTTTGATCAACTTAATGCAGCCTTTCTGAATAAAATTATTCATTTCTTTTGAAACAAAAATCTTACTGATGGTAGTGTATGTGTAAAAATAATCTAAACAAATAAATAAAACCAAGGTTTACGATCTTCAATAAAGGCTATACGATCTTTAAGACCTTGATGCGAAAGGTCTTTTTGATAGTCTACAAGGCTGGAAAATCATTCAGGATGGGTTTGAAGCATCTGCTGTTGACTTGAGGTCAGTGATTAAGTGTTTGCTTGGTTCATTCATTGGCATTTTCGATAAACACCTTTCCGCTGTGAATTTGATCCTTGAAATTTTGTATCTTTTCTCATCCATTCCGCAGACAAGCGTTTTATTCTATTTTAAACGCACACTAGATCAGATTTATACAATGGTGTGACGTTTTTCATGCCTCGTTACACAACAGGATTTCATTTCCTCCGGTGAGCTGCAGCTGCTGTGATGTTGTTGTTGTGCAGTGAAACAAGAGATGTGCGCGTTTGTGCTGAGGCTCAGTGACGCTTTCACACACTTAGGCACAATTTCCAGTGCGGCTTAGAGCTCTTCATGGGGTTAAATCTTCCCGGACACAGGTGAAACTTTATTCTCTACTCACTCTCTCTCTCTTTCTCCCCTTTTACTCTGTTCCTCACCTGACCCTGGTCTGCAACAGAGAATAACACTCATTGTACACTCCCAATTCAAGGCTGTGTTTGAGAATCGTTTTTTTGGCATTGTGAATAAAAGAGCTTTTTTTTCAGATTTATCTCACTTGTGAATTTGGTAAACAACAATGCTAAATGTTCGTTAAACTGCAGTTTTTCATGGAAAATAATCATATTTTGACAGTTTTTCATTAGACTGTGTATATAGCATGGATAGAGGCGATGTGTTAGAGCTGATATGTTTAAGTTTTAAAGTCTTTTGTAAAGGCTATGATGTATTTTTCCAGTGGTACACCTTTATTATTGAGGTGTTCATTGGCGTGTTGTCTTCATATCTAACAATACATGGTAATGTTTAATCAAATTAAAATAGCTTCTTATGATTGGCTGAAATTACAAATTCTAGTGTATATAAAAAATCTAATAAAAATTTGGGGCACAGTCCAGTGATGCTGTATTAAATACTACATAAAACATTTTTAAATATTTAAATATATATATTCCTCATAGGGTTCCCTCGGGTCCTTGAAATCCTTGAAAGTTTATGAATCTGAAAAAAAAAAATATTCAAGGCCTTGGAAAGTTTTTGAAAATAAACATACCATATAGGTCCTTGAAAGTGCTTGAATTTGTTTTGTGAAAGAAGTTTTCTGGAATAAAATCCATATTATTTGTATTTTATATAATATTAATATTTTTCCAACACTTCATTCATTCCCTTTACGTACTAGCTTGCTTGATTTACATGTGCATTTACGCTTTACGTTAAGTGTTTTCTGCGTGAGGTACTTTGTGCTGTACGTTGCCATGACGCACAAAACTACTACGATGGAATCTCAATGTTATTTGTTGGACAACAGATGTGTCCTAGATAAAGTCTTTGAATTTGAGGGTATTGAACCTGGAAAATCCTTGAAAGGTCCTTGAATTTAAAGTTAACCAAGGTGTAGAAACCCTGATTGTTTAATCATTGCTTAATATCCTGTAGAATATAATACTACTATACTAGTTCTAATTCTTCTCTATATGCCACTACTGTGTGTGATATATATATATATATATATATGAAGAGTTCAGATGCAAAAGCCTCTAAGTACCATTTGAAATTTTCTTCTAGAATGATCATTTTTATCAAGCTTGTATATTTAAGTTCAGTGATTTCACTTAAATGGCAATGAAGATTACCTATTAATTGTTATTTAAGTGAAATTACTGAACTTAAATATACAAGTTTGATAAAAATCATCATTAAAGAAGAAAATTTCAAATGGCATTTAGAGGCTTTTGCATCTGAACTCTTCATATATATATATATATATATATATATATATATACTGTATATACACACACACAGACAACCTTCAAACTAGACGCGGATGAGATGAGATCAGGAATTGGGATGATAAATATTCTGGAAAGCATCTGGATCCTTTTATAGTGAGAACGTTTTTCATCAATTTCAACAAGCAGCTCAAGACAATCGATAATCAACTCACACTTTCACTAGCTATTCTGTCTATTGCTATTATGTCTTTTGATTTGTTGAAGTTTCCAGTTCACCATTTGTTGAAGATGCAAGTTGTGAATGAGTAAATATCGTCTTTAACTGTAGTCTCTCCATCATCTTCTTGGCTACATGTTTCTCTTAATCGATGTACAGTAAACATTCTGTCAATCTCAACAAGCTTTTAATCATAAAACGCCACGCTGGGCTGCTGCTCTGCTGCCGTTTCGGTCCGTCTTACTGTATGTTTGCTTTTTTTATAGTGTCCTGCAATACTTGTTTCAAAACCCTAGTCAAACGACACAAAACCTCAAATTAGAGCCCAGCTTGTGTGTGTGTGTATGTGAAAAACACTTAATTTCATCTGTTTTGTTAGTCATTTTGTTTATTTTCCAAACAGAATGATTGCCTGGTGGGGAGCCAGAGTAAGTCTCCAGCAACCCCCTCCGCTCCTGCCGTGTGGAAATAGCTTTTTTCTTCTTCGCAGATGTCAACCATTGTACACTTGCTGTCAAAATGCTGTCTGCTCTGCATCATGTAACTTTGGTGCACTTTCTCTGAGATGCGTTTCTCTCCTTAAATGTTAGTAAATTTAGGATTTATGTAAATCAATTAAGAGGTTAACAAGATAACGAACATGTTGTGAGTTGGTTGGGAGCTGAACGCATCACATTCTTGGGAGAGTTTTCTGTAGTTTCGCAGCGCAGCTGTGGGTTTGTGTTTTCTCTCACTTGTTAACACAAAACAGTCCATTCACACTCTTTCACACAAACACATAAACACACACAAACACTTGTACGAAGCGGACACTGCTGCCCTTTTGAACAGGCTGGATAATTGGCCCCATTCAGTCCTTATGTGTGTCAGTATCTGTTGTCTGTATATAGTGAGAAGAGGATGTGGAGAAGGAAGTGATGGTTGTTTTATGCCTCTTCATAATTGAAGAAGAGCTTTGATTTCTCAACAAAAAAAAAACTTAGAATAAATGTGGGAGTTCATTGTCTGAGGTTTTTTTAAATAGCTTTTTAGAATTAAAATTAATAATAACTAAGTATATATATATATATAATTTATGTAATCAAATGCAGAATTTTTTTATTTAAAATAATATGTAATATTTCACAGGGCAAATTTAATTTTAAAATAAAAAATATATTAGTTTTTCATTATTTTTGTAAATAGGTCCCAGTATATAACAAATTAATACTGGATTCATTTTGTAATAATAATTTATATTTTTTTATCTTGCAGGTAAATCTGAAGCACAAGGAATGGAAAAGACCTCAGGAAGAGAAATATTGACAAACACATTTAATTAAATTAGTTTTGTGGGCATACTTTGACCTCTATCACAATAATTATATGGTATATATATGTGGAAATTTTTACTGAAAAATATTAAAATATATTTAAAAACAATGGGTGGGCTTTATTTAAAAAAAAACATGTTTATTTAATAGTGTTCGTTTTTCAAAAATGTATACACCATCTATTAGCTCTAAAATATCACACAAGAATATATTTTTGCTAGATGAGGTGGGTCATTTTACAATCTTGCGCCTAAAAATACATTTTGACGTGAAAATAAAATTGATATGAATTTTGATGTCAGTCGGGTCATACGAACCCTACTGTGAAAATGTTAGACATACAGGAGATGAAGTAACATCAAGACATCATTTAGTAGGGACGGTCACAGCCGCTTCCAGAGTTAAATGATTCGGAAAGATCTGGCAGAGGCTGTTTTTTTCTCTAGCACCTGCAAGACATAAAAGTACTATACATTGAAACACTAGTTTTCTGAATATAGATGCTACTAATAGCGTTTCCATTATGTGAGTGTGAGAATATGTGAAAGAGAGAATCGTACCCAGGTTCCCCTCCTGCTCCAGTTCCTCTTCTATCGCCATCAGACGATTGTATTTGTCCATTCGCTCCCCTCCTCTCAACCCGCCCAGTTTAAGAAAGGACACGCCTGACCCTACAGCCTTTAAACACATACAAAGGGTGAGGTCCAAAACTAAAATCCTGAGCCTCAAAATGTAATTAAACTAGAAAACTTTTAGGACTTTGAATAATGTAAAAAAAAAAAAATACAAGACTCTGCATTATTGGTCACTAATCAAATCAGCAAAAATCGTTTAGTTTTTAATTCAATTCAATTCAATTCAAACAACTTTATTTATCCCCATAGGGCAATTCAGTTTTAGCCTTCCAGTCATTTTAAACAAGACAAGACAACAATCAATCGAACATTCAGAAACACTGTCAGTGTTTCTGTTTATGCCCTCTTTGTGCAAATATGCTAAGATAATAGTTTGTAATAAATGTTTCTACTTAATTAGAACAATTGTGTTTAACACATTTCGTTTCAAATGTATGATAAAAAAAATGTAATTTCATGGACTTCAATAGGCACATATTCAGGAACTAAATGATTTCACTATTTATTAAAAGACATGGGCAAAATACTACATGCATGTCACTGAGAAATAAATTCTCTAACAAGAAACAATTCAAGAAGTATGACCAACCCACCAAGTCAACAATTGATGTATCGCCACATCCTGCAGCCAGCATCGTCTCTGCATCTCAATCAATCCACATATGAAAGACGTGCACTTATTACAGGCAATTTATTTAGACTTGGACATTGTACTTTTACAAATGATTGTGAAAACAACTTTTATGTTTGGAGCTTACCTTTCTGCTCTGCTATGCTTTTTATAAGGTCAGAGATGGTCATATCATTGTGATGCCTATGAATGACCCCCGTGATCCCAGGTGGGAGGGGTTTGGCATCACTCCAGTGTGGAGAAAGATTGAATGCAGCATCTGCAATCAGGCAGCAAGTTTGCCCAATCACTGAGGCCAGTCTCTCCCACTGCTCGACATCCTAAACTCAGAGACACGCCGTCAGTTCAACCATTCCTTGGTCTACCAGATGACACTTGGTAAAGTCACTTTTATTGCTTAAAGGGGTTAAATACATGTCTTTTTAAACTCACCTCTTTCCTGAAAGGATCAATGAGAGATTTGATTGCTGGATATTTATTAATCAGCCCCCCGTACATGTCCACCAACTCATCTGGGGATTTGTGACAGCCTGACATTACCTCATACTTCCCACGTGACTAGAAGACAGCAAGAGAAACGTTTAAAATGGTTACTGTATGTTATTAAGACTTTAATTTTGAACGTGTTGTGTCTAATTTAGTACTTGAATACGTGAATATGAGCCTAATCATTTCCATGTTCTGTCTTTAAATCACTCACATAGTCCATGAGGCCGTGTGCTGCACAGTTTATGGCCAAGCCTAGGTCAGAACCGAGAGGCAATGCCAGGTTAGCACACGCCTCTGTGACCAGATCAAGGGCCTGTTCGGGATGTTCAAACCCCACCTGTAACGCTCCCTCATCGGATACACCTATAGGCTGAGGCAGTAAGAGAACAGGTGAGTGATAGAGGAATATGATGTTGAAAAGAAATAAAAAGTCTCATAATATTAGCAACATATGCACTGTAAAACAATATTGATGGTTTAACTTAAAAAGTAAGTAACCTGGTTGCCTTAAAATTTTAAGTTCACTGAACTGGAAAAAGTGAGTTAATACAATGAAGGAGAATGATTTAATCATCAGAAACTCAAAATTATATGTTATCTGAACTAAATAAATTATTTAAGTTGATCTGACAAAAGAAAAAATGTTGTGATTACTAAACTGTAAAAAAAAATATTGTTGGTTTAACTTAAAAAAGTAAGTAACCTGGGTTGCCTTAAAATTTTAAGTTGATTGAACTGGAATAAAGGACATTCATTTAATCATCAGAAACTCAAAATAATAAGTTATCTCAACTAAATAAATTATTATAAAGTTGATTTGACAAAAGAAAATATGTTGTGATAACAAATCTTGAAAATATTTTTTACAGTGTGGCAAAACTGAAAGGTTTCAGACTACTAGTTTGGGGTCATTATCTTAACCTGAAAAAAATTCTTAAAAATGAATCATGTTATTCACAGAATTATTTGTTCACGTGCTCTACAGTTTTTAAGATTTGTAAGCTCATTGCTTGATTTTTTTATTATTTAAGTCTCTTATTTATGCACAACAAAGATGCATTTCTTTGATTAAAAACACATGGTAAGGACGGTAACATTGTGAAATATTATAACAATTTAAAATAACTGTTTTAGATTTTAATATATTATTCCTGTGTATTGTAATAATTTATTTCTGTGATGGCAAAGCTGAATTTTTTAGTGGTACATGATCCTTCAGAAATCATTCTGTTTTGATGCTCAAGAAACATTTCTTGTTATTATCAATAGTATCAATTGTGCTGCTTAATATTTTCGAGGAAACCATGATACTTCTTTCAGAATTTCAGAATGTTATGAAGGTTTTTACCGAGGCTAGTCACAGTTCACCAGTAATAGCCTCCCATCTAAACATAAATATATATTTATTGTGTGACATGCTGTTAAGTGGTTCAATCACCATTCATAAGCCCTGCACATGATTTGGGCCTGTTTATTTCATTCAGATGGTGATGTGCAGATAATTATCCCATCAAAGCATCAAAAAAATCACATCATTTGTGTGCTGCTTGATGCTTTTGTGTGAGCCGGAGCATAGAGCATTATGTTCCTTTTGTCATTGAGTCAAACCATATGAGAGCATCCTTACCCCTGCTTTATATGCCGATCCATTCAAAACTCTCCTCATTTCACACTGCAGCTCAAGGCCCATGCCAATGACCTACAAGGCCAACACAGATATACACTAAAGACAAACAGTAGGGATATTGGAAGTGAGAGCATTCAGCACAGTATTAACACAGCTGAGCCATGAAAGCCCAGCTAATAGGGAACGTTCTCAGAAAGTTGGCTAAGGTTCTGGCAAGGTTCCCTCAAAGCGTTTTTCCAGTTACGTTAAAAGAATGTTCGTCTTTAATAATGCTAGCAAAGACACATTACTAACACATTGTTCATAGAGCCTCTAGTTTTTTTACTCTAAAAATTCAGTACATTCAAAAGTAATGTTTTCATAATATTGTATGCTCCTTTAACTCTTTCCCCACCTATTTTAAAAGTTGCCAGCCAGATTTTCGCAAAACTTTCATGGCCCCCAGAATATTTTGTTATATGAATATCTGAACATGAAATATATCAAAAGAACTTTTGAACTTTTTTATTCGTGCTTCATGCATTCTTTTACATCAACACTTGAAAAGTTGGGTAAGGGTACGTACATATCATTAGAAAAAGCAACATTTTGAACATTTTCGGTGATCAAAACGCTCATATCACTTGTTTTTGTTCTTTCTTCGCCTGTGTTTTGATCCAGAGATTCTGTACTCTTTCAGAAGATGTGTAATAGCGTCTCTTACCATATAACAGTGAAAACATGGATTGCCGTCAGAGTGTTTGTTTGTTTTAATGTGTAAAGGTGGGATCTTTGAGCATATGCATACTTCTCTGACTGTTTGCGACAAGCTGGGCATAAGGATGACCTCCTCCAGAAGGTTGAGTTTACCCACAGAGTTCTTTCCACAGCTCAGTATTGTAATCATTGGCACAGGCAAGTGCATCCCATTCTGAGTCTAAAGCAGTTCACGAGATGTGAAGGAAAAGGATAAAAGGGATATTTACATTAGTATAGTTTCAGTACATTTCTGTATAATTCCATCAGACCACAATGCAGTTCTTCTCAAGTACACAGATATCCACTTGACGGTTAAAACATGTATCATGTGTGTTTGTATTTACACGCACTTTAAACGTTTGACTTCATTCTATAATTAATCATTTAATATTTGCATTCACCGAGGATGCATTAATTTAGCAAAGGTGACAGGAAAGATTATATGTAATATTATTTATATTATTACAAAAACAAAATATTTTAAGAAAATTCTAAAATCCTAAAAAAAAATTATCAACATTTCCACGAAAATATTAACAATCACAGCACTGTTCATAATAAAAATGTCACTGTATTTTTGGTTAAATAACTGCAGCCTTTTTAAGCATTAAAAATGATCATAAAATTTAACCAACCCCAAATGTTTGAACGTTTTTGTACCTGCTGGACTCTTAATGATGTGATATGTCGGTATAGGGGTGCTCCTAAGAGTCCGGCCGCGGTTTTAGCCACCGCCAAAGAAACAACAGCAACTGCCGTGGCCCCTGGCAGCCTCGGCTCTGGGGCTTCTGCAGGAGGGAGGAGCTTCTCCGTGCTGTTTCCTTTTTTACCTGGGAACAAAGACATAGACACAGCAAGAGAAAGTGCAGAGGACGGAGAGGTCAGATTAAAGGATCATTATCATACATCACCTGAATCTTAAAAAAGAGATGAAGCATCAAAGGTTTCAGTTACTGAATAATTCAGGCATATTTGTGACATATGATTCATTTATTCCTCAAGCAGAAATGTCCAATAATAGCAGGTTTACTGAGATTAAGTGAGGAGCATTCAACTGATCGTGTGATGTCGACATAGCGGTCAACACGAGATATGACCCACTCCTTTTAGAATAAAACCGCTCTTTCTAGGTCACTAATGTGACTGAAGGCCACCATTTCAAACAAAATGTTCAAAAGTACTATTCATTTCTGTAGGCGAAAAAGGTTTTCTACAGTAGGAAAGGTTTCTTTGGGCATATTTAAATATATCTGGGATTTCTCTAAAATAGTTGGGATGAAATGGAAAGGTGAAGTAGAGTCACCGTCACATAGATTGCTACTCAACTACTCAAGTAACTAAAGCAGCTCCCAGAAGGGTTTCTATGAAAGAGAAGTGTGGAATCCTTCAGACTGCGTTTTACAACAGCTGTCAGATCAGTGAGATTGGCTGGAATCTTGTTTAACCTCCTTTCTTTGTATCCCACAGGCATGACTTGCTGAACTATGGGTTGCTGTCCTCCTTTGGCTCCCTCACTTAAGTTGTTTGGCAACATTGATTCCATAGTAGAAAAAAAAAATACTATGGAAGTCAATGGTGCCCCACAACTGTTTGGTTGCAATCGTTCTTCAAAATATCTTTCTTTGTGTTCAGCAGAAGAAAGAAACTCATACAGGTTTGCAACAACTTGAGGGTGAGTAAATGATGACAGAATTTTCATTTTTGAGTGGAGTAACCCTTTCAGCTGTCTCTGATCCCACTATTCTGAAATGTTTATTGTGAGAACTCATGTTTGCAACACAACTAAAAGACAACCAAGACATTAAGCTCCTTTACTTTTATCACCACCTTTCTTGTCTTTTACAGGAGCCAGTGTGGGAGTGGCCTGGGGCGGAGCCTCAGACACTGTTTCATCACTCAACTCCTCCTCCTTCTCTCTGTTAAGACTGTCCTTGTGCTCCAGGTAACGTGCCATGAAGAAATCTCTGCAGAACATATACGCAACCTCAGTCTTGCATGTATGTATTAAAACTTGGTTATCATTTAAGAACCTTCTTGTCAAAATTTGGGTGGATCTTCCTGTGATCACCTGAGTATTTTGTCTACACTGTTTTGGTCCATGGGGTTGAAGCCTTGCAACATTGGACTGAGATGCTCTCTGATCCACTTCAGAGCTGTTGTGTTGGACAGATGTTGCTGGTCCTCTCCTGACTCAGCCAGACCATCACAAGGGCCCCCCATCACCGCACTGCACACCATCTATGATTTACACAAAAGCTCATTAAAATTCAAAATGTGCCCCTGTAATTAATTCCACTGTATTTGTAAAATGTGGTTATTCAATTTAATTCTAGTCATATTTAATTAGTCTGATTGTTCAGTAGTATTTAATTTAATATTTTATTTTGGCTTTATCTTAGTTACCAAAAAACATTTTAATAGAGTCGTGGACAGTGTTTTAATATGGTTAGAAAAAGTGCTCTTGTATAGATTAAAAAATAATTTCTAAAAATAATTTTAAAATAAAAACAACAATAATCTTAATATAACGATATAATAAAAATGTTCATTACAACACTTATTTTTGCATAAGCTTCAGAATTTTAAGAGATATTCTGCTATTTCTTCTAAAAACTGAATTAATAAACAGGTGAATGATCATGAAAACACTGAAAAGACCAAGATCTGAAGATCTGAATATAATAATCTGCACATGAGCTGTTGATCTAATGTCAACTGGTGTTTGTTACTGATGTCAAGATTTTTAGATTTTGATATCAAAATGTGTGGATTTAACTTTGAAATCAATGCATTTCTTACAATCGGTAAAGTGCCAAATATACTTAGATTGATGTGATGAGGCTGCTTCATTTATCCATACTAAACAGTGCTGAAGATGAGCGATTGCTCCCAATCTCTGCAAAGGAGAGCTTCAGTTGAAGCTGAACTGAGTGTGTTTGGGTTTGGGTTTGGCTAATGCTAATGCAAAGGTCAGGAAGTTATTGTGCCATCACATTCCAATACCGCCAAAACATAATTTGATCCTGGGCAGTGTTTGCAATCCCCTCTTTCAAACCAACTTTTTTACCCCTTTTATGTGCTGTTCTCCTCCCTGTCTCCTTTCACCTCTCCTCTCCTCCCCCCAGGAGGTCATGCCTACAGTCGGGTGTTCCCTGTCCCACTGTATTAGCGTCATAAGCTCTGAATGTGCCAAACCAAAACAGCAGTGCTCTCAACTGCAATGTGGCCACTGTTCCAGAAGGCATAATGCTTTACTCGCAAACACAAACAGAGCTTCAGAGCGAGATCAAAACAGATGGAGAATAAGAGACAGAGAGTGATCTGATGGTCACACATAGTGGTTGGCTGCTGAGGCACGTGCGTCACTGACCAAACGCACACGCTCTCCTACTCTAATTGTTCTGTTTGTCTGTGTGCATGAGTATGTGGACACGCTGTGACCTAAATTCATCACTGTCACTACAAATTTCTCCTGTGAACTGTACAGCATTGTGCAAAGGTTACATGGTGGATGGCCAGTTTCTGGTTCCCCATAACCATCAAAACTGAGATACTTAGATCTGAAATCCACCTTGTTGTCTACAAAATCAACATCTGACTGATGTTAATTTCATTATTTTAGGCCTGCTTACTGTAATACACCTAAACCCCATCCATGTGACAAAGCTGCTCTGAAATGCAGGGAAAACGTGGATGATTTCAGAATCTACCTTTTCTTCATTTCTGATGATGCAGTGCACTTCGGTCTGAACTGCTGTCAATCCTCTTCCGTCAAACACCTGCCTTCCGGTGATTTTACTAATCACTGGAGAACAGGAAAGCCTGGAAAAATAGTTTGCCTGAAAGAGCAGTTATTGATTTCGCATCATTATGTTGGTGTGTAATGATGGGGATCCGACCTACATAAATACTGACTTCATTCTGGAAGAATAACAATAAAATGGACTAGCCTAGATGTAATGTCAAAAATGTTATCCGTATTTCTAAAACGGATAACATTATCTTTATTTTTCAGAGATAAAACGTTTACAATTGTCACATCTCAAAAGCATAAGTATGTCGATTTGTCCCACCAGAAAACCGTAGATATCATCGGGCTTCTGCCAAAACATCTCGTTCAAGACGCTCTCTATCTTCTGAGGCACCCCGTTGGACCTGTAATACTCTGCGGCTTTGTTTTTCAACTCGTAAAACTCCTGGTCCTCTTTTGATACTCTGCTGTGGCTCGCGAATCCTTTATATGACATGGTTGTTTCGTTTAAGACAGAATTTCTGCATTTGTTTACAGTCTTTCGCTGTCATGTGCGCGTCTTGGCAGGGTTTGTTGATGATCTGTGGTTGCTCGGCAACCTCAGATGTAACACCGCGAGAATTGAGATAGTGTTTCTCTTTTAAAACGAGTTCAATATCATTTTGACGCTGTTGGGTCTCAATAAATCTACGGGACCGTGCATCCCTCTTGACGTAAAATGCTGTGTTCATTGATGGACTTAGGCTTTAAATATAATGTCTAGTAACAATAGCCTATGATAAATATTACTTTCGCAAGGCTTTAATGATAATCTGATAATGCATTATCAAACTTAATTCAAGAAAAAAAACTAGGTATATACGCACACTACTCGCAAACGTTGAGATGAAGAACTGGCACCATTCTTTTAGTCTTAACAATTAGGCCTAGGCTAAAATAGTTTTAGTAGTGTCATTTGTGGCCTATATTTTATTTATTTATATAAATTGTTTATTTCCAGGCTATTCTATTTCAGAAAAACATGAGCCATAAAACTTCACCATATCAAAATATTTGGCCGCAAAAAGTGCTTTGGTTCTCAGTGTCAGGCTGTTAGTTGAGCCTACGGAATCTGCGGATTTAACACTTATTGACGTTAATCTTACACTCGCAAAAAGTGCATTAAAGTTTATTCAATTTTCAAGAGAACATCTGTTTATGTCAAAATATTATAATGTTATCAGAGATACCATAGTTTACTGGTGTCGTGTCACTGTCACTATCAGTAGCCTAGCCTAGACTATGGGCTCCAGGTTTATAAAGCATTTTAAATTGCACGTGAGTAAAATGTCTATAGAAAATTTAACGCGTTGTTTCACCAGGTATTTCATGTAGACACTAGCCTAAATATCTCTAAATATTTTACTGTAATGGGAAAAAATGAATTTGATTTTTCTAGTTTGTTAAAATAAAACAAAAACAACGAAAAAGTCGGTAAGGTAAAAATAAAATAAAAACACAGCGAAAGTCATAATATAGTCAGAATTATTATTATTATTATTATTATTATTATTATTATTAAGTGCATTAAAGTGAGGATTTGTTGCTTCTGCTTAGCCCATATATAGCCTATTATTGTAAGCGTATAGGCTATACAAAATTATTTATTATATAGGCTTTCGAATCTGCACTCCACATTTTATAAAATATATTTAGGCTAGGCTACATGTCTGAAAAGATAGGCTTAGCCTAAACCTCAGTTTCGGCACTTTTAATGCGTTTTGTTTTCAAATATTTAAAAGGTTTAAAAATAAATAAACAAAATAACTTGTCATTAATGCTAGCTATAAAGTGCGAAAATATATGTCATCTAATCGCTAGTATTTCACACAAGTGCAATATGAATAAGGCTACATTTGTTTTGGTTCCTTTTTTAAATTCAGTAGGACGTTTATGAAACAAAGCGTTTAATTTTAAGTCCAATATAAAGTATGAAGTATTACAAATATTATTTTATACTTTAAACTTGGTAGGCCTATAGTTTAATTAAAAAATTGTATAGGCTCTTTCTGAATCTACATTTTAAATCATGCATTTGCATGAATTTCTTCAAACATAACATGTATTGAGTGCTTAGCTCTTTAACGATATCCTATACAATTCTGTATGCAGTGTAGCCTAAATTATGGGAATTATTGATAACTTAGCACGTAGCCTGTATTAGGCTATTTGACGTGTTTTGAGAGAGAGGTTTGTTAATAGGCCTATTGTTAATATTTATTTTGTCACTTTTGTTATTTAGGATATTTTATATCGGGTTAACCTACTCATTTTTCGGTGTTCCCTGTGCCGCATTAATAAAAAAAAATTGTCTGCTGTGAGCTATTAGCCTACTTTCTCTGTCCCAAAATCCAAGATGCGTCTAATGAGAGCGCAGCGGCGTCAACGGCACAGTTTTCTATCCAAACTTTTATCATATAGCTAGCCTAGGCCTATACGAGCTAAAATTAATTTACAATAGGCTATATTTGCCAAATAGCCTATAACATTTTTAAAGTTATTTTCACCCAAGTTAGAATTCGTTGCAGAAAATTATGAGCTGCCTACAAATCAACTTGCGTTGTTGTTAGTTCAGTAAGGTAAGGTCTGAGCCTTATGAACGGGGGAAAATGAGTTTATGGTTTTTATTTTTTCGCGACAAGCATTAGGCTAGATATTCGTTGGGTTTTATTATTAAAGGAGATTAGGAGGAAATTAACCTCATAATCTCATTGTCAGAATGAATTGAGAGCATTATTAACATGGAACATATGAAGTCTAAACAATCTCCAAATCTCCGTTTTCCAAATGAAATGCTTGTGTGGCACGCGCTTCTGCTCGAGACCGGTCTCAGGTTCACGCGGAGGTCAGTCGCTCCAGGACAGGAAGCCATCGAGAGGGCACCAGCGTCACTGACGTCACGCACTAGAGCGCGTTTCATTGGCTTTTCCTGCGTTAGTGCAGATGGGGTGGATACAAATAATATCTGACACAACAAAATATGTTTGCCTAAGCATGAACCGAGCCTTCATCGTATTTCCGCAAGAAGCAAAAGCAGTATGATTTTAGAGGAATCAGGTAGCCTATCGATGCATTGTTTTCCTGCGCAGTAAACATTCACAGAGGAATTAGTTAGGATGCAGTCTAGTAGCTTATAGTTATGAAGGGAAAACACCTCTGTATTTACTATTCCATTCAAATTAATTAAAATTAAAAAATGATGGTATTTAAACATAAAAGTTTTCAAATCTATTTCTTGACCAAATTATATAAGCAGAAAGCATGGATTCATTTATGCGGTCACAGTGGAGTTCAAGTGAGCATGCCTACATGTCTGTCGCCACCAGCCGGTCACGTATGCTCACTCTCAAGTTCAATATATAGCCTACGCATGCACTCAAAAGCTATCATTGTTACATTATGTAGTTTCTTTCATATATGATCCCGCATACGAGAACATGCGCATTTTACGTTGAACGCGCGTCAAAAAATTCAGGTTAATTGCCAAATAGTCCTAGATAAATATAATAATTAATATAATAATAATTTAGGTTGCAGTGATTCATTAGATGTAGCCTATAACCCAAATTAAGCAATTGCCTAAATAATCTATAATACAATTCTTAATTAACTAGACTAAGCTATTACAACAATTGCAACACTTTGTTATACATTAAAATTCACTACTGTTAAATGAATTAATAATGTTTATTGACTTACATTTTGTTGATGATGCATCCATAGACACTCCCTTAAGGACAACCCGAAAGGTGATACAGACAATCCAAGTCCATATCTCCAGCTCAAGGCTAGCCTACTGCATAAGAGAATTGTAAAAAGCACAATTGGACATCAGTCTCCAAACACAGATTAATCGTACCTGCTAAGCAGTGGCTAAAGTACCCTGTTTAAACAGACCTGTGCTTGTTTTGGGGAGACCGCTGGGCCCTGTAAAGAAGTCCAGGCTTCTCAGCACTGTCAGAGCTGGAAACATCCACATTGCCAAAACATGTGACTGCCAGTGGGTCAGACACTCCCAGATACTCCCAGACATTTGCATGCCTGTTTTGTTCCTCTTAGAAGCTCTAAAACAAGGTTGTCACATGTGCATTTATTTTGTTTTCATAAGGTTCTAGAAAGTAGCCTAATTTGAACGTTTTATGATTATTTATTCCTGCCAAACACATATCTCACATTCAGCCACTTGTTGCTTTGTTATGCCAGTGATTGCGTTTTTGTCATGCGGCATGCCGTCATAATAGGATACATTGTGACCTCATAACGCATGCATCATGTGGGATATAACAAACACGGAATATAATGCACATTACCCCACGGCCGGATCTTTCACCAAAAGCTACATTAGCATTTAGGCGTTTTAATTGCTTAACTAACGTTAAACAGCTTTCCAAGGGTCCCCCGTGGGTCACGGGGGAAAAGGGCAATTTCTACCTAATTAGCGCATCTTCTCTCATCCTTAAATCGCCAGATTCGTCACCAGATGCCCTGATTAATGCTTTCAGAACCGCGCACTTGTCTAGTCATGTCTTCAAACTTTGCCTGGTGTCATCTGAATGAACACCAATAGATTTTTTTTTTTATTTTTTTCAGTTTGTGTTTCATCCTGAAATAATACGACCACAATGACTCAATGATGAATTCCTTACCATTCACTAAAGATTTGTGGTGTTTTATAACTTAAGAATTGCGTTTTGTTTTGATTTGGTAATGCAGACCTCTTGCAAAACTAACACATTTTTGCTCCTAACTTTTTATCTTTATTTTATGTACAGCAATAGCCCATGTGTTCTAAACGTCCTAACCCCAACCCCCTGCATTCGTCTGTATAACTAAAGGTCATTATTCAAGCGTAAAAACGTTATTTTGTTCGTTAAAATAGTTTGCTATTTTGTTCGAGCTCAAACTAAAATTATTAATAATTTAAAAATAATAATTAGCTACATTTAGCAAAAGCTATTGGGGTTTGGAAACAATGCATGCCATGGATTAGCAATAGACACATTTTAAGAGTAAGTAGGCCCACTTCACTAACGTTTGGTGGCGTATATGAATTCATATAATCCTAAAATAGCATGAGAAATAACACATAATTAACACTCTTCAGAAACACCACATTTTAAGGGCTTGTGTAAAATATATTTAATAATAAAAAAGTGTTTAAAACTAGTAAATATTGTGTATTATAATGCAACTAAACAACAATCAGAAATGTATTCGCAGATAGCCTAAATACAACGGTTTCAAAAATAAATGAGGACAACATCTGCAAACAGACGGAGGAAAACTGTTGTAGCCTACGTATAAAACTGATTACATTTTTTTTCTGAAACACCCTACTCTTCAGATTTGCCTTAATGAGTTCCTGCCATAATGAGCGGATCTCGTTTAAGTCACTCTCATAGGCTCACTAAAGAGGGTTCACGGACAGGTCGCGCGCATTGCTCTGTAGCCAATACCCAACCCTATACCTGGACCCAGAGAGAGAGAGAGAGAGATTTGTTGAATTATTCGCTTTTTTCTTTGCTTGCTGCCATCTGGCAAACACATAAGCTTAAACCCTTAACCTATAGGCTACCCGTTGGAGTAGCCTGCATTTTCTTTCTGGGAAAATAAGAGACAAGTGATATTTAACCCTACTTTGCGCACAATGACAACTGAGGACAA